ACGAGGTGGCTTACCTACAAGCAAGCTGGATATCGTTTTTGGGACGAAAGGCAGAGGGGGTTTCGTTTTTGCGGCCGAAGACATACGATTGGGGCGACGTTTTGTTTTTTTTTTAGTCGACGTTTCGTTTTTTGGGGGATTTTTAGAGATTTTTTTAGGAATTTAAAGGAAATATGGGTAAGGGTCAAAGGGGACTTCGTAAAGATACCCAAAAGTCAAGGGGAACTTCGTTTTTTGCATTTTCATCTAGCCACCTCGTGCCGAGCCCTGATGGAGAGTAAAAAAATTCTCAGCTTCCTGTTTCCAATGCTTAGGTCCGCTTATTACTTCTACTTCTAAACTTCTAGTGGATATTATGTTTATGCACAATTCTTCTACCAAAAAATAAAAGAAAATTAAAAAATGCTCAAACAAACTAATCAATTTACCGAACATGCTCTTTATCAATGTATCAAAAGTAGTATCTATAGTACATTTTAGAAAATCAGTGTGAAACAAAATCAAGGTTAATTTCGAAAAATCGGAAAATCGCCAATATTTGCAGAGGCATCCAATCATTAACGATTTTTCTTAGTCAAGAAGAGTATATCATAAAACAAAGCACCACAATGAGTTTACACTTTAGTGGACATTTTAGTCATCGACCAAAAATCGAAAATTCACTTTTTGTGTATTTCTCGTAGTCAGCTCATACCGCTGCCATATGCCCTCAAAGAATCCTGACTTGAGAAAATATAGAAAGCGCAAGATTTTTCTCTCTACTATGTAATTAGAAAAGTTCATTGAAGTTGGAGGAAGTAAACAAATTTTCAAAAAGTTTTGGCGCAAGAGTTATCATCAACCTAATAGATATCCCACATTTAGTTCCTTGCTACATATCTATTGGATATCTCAAAAAACCTCTGTTTGACTCTCAGCAAAATCATGAACAACACAGGAAAAACATGACATTTATGAGAAATACTGAAGTTTGATCCGCTTCAAGAAACTGCTTTTGGAGTTTTTGGTACACCTCGCGCTATGCGAATTCGAGAAGCTAACAATAAGATAAATAATTGGTAAGTCTTTCAGGTCTGATTTGAAAATTACAAAAAAATGAGTTGTGGCAACAGCTTGATTCCATCCACATTTCAATAAACAATGCTCATTCATGATGCCATGTTAAAAAATTTATAAAACTAAGAGCATTTGGCATTAAGGGGAAATCTGCTAGAATCTGCTAGGAAAGCCTGCTGAATCTGCTAATGTAAAATCTGAATAAATAAACAAGACAGTGATTTTTAGATAAACTAATAATCATCACAAAGTATGCTTGAAAGAAAAATGCTAGCTTAGTTTTTGTTGATAAAATCCTCTACTTCTCGCTTTATCGCATATATTAGATTGAAACGCTATCACATCACTTCTTATCAAAATCAATGGATCAGATAGGCTTATCTTGTGCTGAGAAAGCAGTATTTTCAAAAAGTGGTACGACTTTTCGTGCGCAAAGTTATCCTCAGGGGCAAGAATATTTATTGAACAAAATTTTTTGGGTTTTTCAAGTTATTTAGTCTACTGGAAAATGATTGACTTTCTTGTTTGCTTTTCTGCTGTTTTAGAGCGATTCGTATTTTATATGGCACTCAATAATACAATCGTAATCAACATGTACACTCCCCCCCCCCTTTACCAATTCGGAGCCCATAGCTCAAACTTTGCAAAAAATCGATAAAGTCGATATCGCGATGACGACCCCCACCCCGTCCTGATGTGTAAGTTTGCAAAATTTGGTTCGAATCGGTTTCAGAAATGAAATCTATTTGGAACAAACATACGTACAGACAGACAGACCTTCAGCTTTATATATAGTTTAAATTTTTCTCCTTTAATCTACAGAGGAATTCAGCTTAAAACTACAACATAGAGCGGACCACTGATCGCCTTTCTTACTACGATTACGGAAGGAACTTCCAGCGTATTGACTTCCTTGTAAATTAGCAGCAAATTTAGAAAGATTTCAAGTCTAATAAGAGTTCTTAAATATCTCAGAAGTACTGTTTCTAGGTGTACCCAAATCCTAAACCAAAGAAACTATGAGTAAAAGGGTAAAAAAGGGTAAAAGGGTTCTTAAATATCTCAGAAGTACTGTTTCTAGGTGTACCCAAATCCTAAACCAAAGAAACTATGAGTAAAAGGGTAAAAACTAAGAAACTCACCGTAGTATACTAGTAAAATCAGTAGAGATGCACCAGCAAACACTGTTGTACCCAATAGGTAAGCAAGAAGCAAGCTCTACGATACTCCCTTTAAAAGGGCTGTCAGTGATAAGAAGATCACTTACACTATCAGGAAAAAATCGGATGGCCTCTTGATATGTTATCACACGCTTTTCTAGGCTTGGTTTATGCTCGACAGGAAATATGCGCTGCGACGCAACTTTACTATCAGTCCATGAAGTTAACCTCCGGTTTGTTTAATGCTTTCAGGGGCGGTATGCATCAATCTCCCGTTTCGAAAGCGGGCGATCATTTTAAGAAAAATGATTGCCCGGCAGCTTCATACATTACGGATCGGGCGGCCGACCCGGCTGGGCAATCATTTTTCTATTGAGAATGATCGCCCGCTTTCAAAACGGGAGATTGATGCATACCGTCCCAGGTCGCCATAAAAGTAAAGGATTATGCATTCTCGGTCAATAAGGCATTACGTATCTCGCCACCGAATTTGTTCAAAGCGTAGAGTAGACCATAGGTGCGATAGGGGGAGCCGGGCCCTTTCCAGGTGAAGGGGGTCTCTGCTACTCCCATCCCTGTGAGGTGAAAGGGGTAAGTGAGCCCTGAAAGCTGAATACCCCAACAAGTTACATAACATTCGAAAACTGAGGTCATGTAGAATCGACGTAGACCATCGACTTTTTTCTAGGTCTTCTGTGCCGCGAGATAGGAGGCATTTTATTTACTTCACATATCAACTGATTTTGTGTCCTCACTTTCTGCTCTCCAAATGATAGCTACGAGAAAATTGATGGTCTATGTTTGTTAATGAAGACTTGCTCTGTAACAGAGATAGATAACCAGCAGTGATTAGGTCTTCGTTTGACAGAAATCTGCTGTTGAAAATGGACATGGTTTTAGATAAAAATGCAGTGTATCTCTCGGTAGAGGGGTGCTAGAAAGGAGTAGACGTTCTACGTCGAATACCCTTTTTGTGAACTTTCGGATGATATATAGACTGCTGGGCGAAAACACTTGCCAGTTTCTAAAAATGGGGTGGAGATATTTACTATTAGCTTGCTCCATCCAGCTCCCCCAATGTATTGACTTTTATCGGTCACCGGAGCAACTGCTTTTCAGAGCTGAGAAGCAAAAAAGCCCCAACATGCCTTATACCATTCGAAAGCTGAGATCATGGGGAAAATCGGACTAGACCGCCTCTTTTTTCACAGCTTCTCTGTGAAGCGAGATAAGAGCAATTTTATACGCCTACTCCCAGCTAATTTTGTGTAATTACTTTGTGCTTGATTTTGAAAGAAGGGAAAAAATAGAAAAAAAGAGACGGTCTACGTTTAGGAAAGGAAAGGTCTTGCTCTGTGATACTGTTAGACAATCAGGCACCTTCATTCATTCTTTACGCAGGAACTTCTTGACAAAAACACACATGTTTTTAGCTAAAATGCCATGTATCTCTAGGTAGAGGGGAGCTAGAGAAAAAGAGACGGTCTACGTCGAATCCCTTCTTCGTGGACTTCCTAATGGTGTATTGGTTGTTGGGTGAAAAAACTTCTGGCTTTTCAAAAATGAGGCGGAGATATTCAATACTAACTTGCTCCACCCCGCTCCGGCTTTCTATAGGTCGCCGGAGCAAGACTTTTTTGGACTAGAAAAGCTTTGTGCACCAATACTTTATAACCATTCGACAGCTAAGAGCACGAGGAATCGACATAGACCGTCACTTTTTTCCTAGCTTTTCTGTGAAGCGAGATACGAGCAGTTTTATCTAGCTACAATATCAGCCTCTGGGTAATTATCTTTTCGAACCAAGAAGGTCTTTTCCGAACTTTTACATATGATTCGAAAGCTTGAGAAACAAGTAATCTAACTGCTTTTTTATTTTTCATCATTCCCTCTAGTGAAAGGAGTTATGGTACGATTATTGTCAGCAAACATGCATCCATCACTAACTAGTCCAACTTTTCTACTCTTGCTTAACTCTTTCTTGAGACAATGTGTATTCATTGATACAATGTTAATCATTCAAAGAATCAGACATCCTTTTTATTTTTGATTATGTTTCGTTAGCAACGCCGCTTTGAGTGCGCAGAAGGTCGTGCGATTTTTAAACAAAACGCTGTTGATTCGATAATCTCTTGCAGTCTTGATGTCTGAGAAGAAGAGCAGCTGGCGTTTCCTTTCTAAACAAAAAGTGTCACTGTAACAGCTGTTTGACTCTGCCGTTATGTCTTGGTTCTAGTCTCAACCTCAGGTGAAAGGGGTCAGCCAGATGCCGGCCCTCAAGTGTAGGGGGTCAGAGAAATTTTTCCACCTATCGCATCTATGGAGTAGACGATACCAGTTGATGTCAAGGCAGCGTCCAACAAAACCTGTGCTCCCCCAGCTAGTATTTGATCTACAAGCCCTAAAGTTGAGACATCTGCGTTGGTCTGGTCCTCTAATGTGGCTCCGAATGGAAAAAATAGACCTGGGTACACGAATGTGTCATCAAGTCAAGCCCGCCCTCTCAAGCTCAGCTCACCCCGATACTGAACGTCGTCTGTGCTGTAATAGGGCCACGGAAAGGCCCTACAATGATAAAATACAAGACGAAGGTTCGGGTGGATGATGGTTATAATTCTGGGCAAGTGCTGTCTTCAACGCAAAAACACCGGACCTCAAATCTGCTCAACTGTACCGGCCCCTCCTTCCGCATTACCGCTACATTAGTTATGTTCTGCTTTTGCTCCCTTATCCTTTGCAAATTTTCTCATAAATGGGCCGAGAATGATGACGCAGATACGACTACTTGCTACGGTGATTCAAAAGCTTCATCGGGAAAGTTACAATAATGGCACGGACACAAATCACACATGTTGAGATCTCCACGATGACATTGCTGAAGTATTCGCTGCCGACATGCGCACAGCATGCTCCCAGTGCTCAAACTCCACAGTTTTACTTCCACTAGAAGATGCAACAAGCCTGAAAAAACCAAATAAACCTAGGAAACGTCAGCCCAAAATAAGATGAACACCTTGACATGATGAGCATTTCATTCAGATACGCAGCTTTATCTATCTTCTTATCAAGCGTGGAGCATAGCGTGACGAAATTATCTTGTATTTTCTAGAACATAAAACGTCAAATAAAAGAAATGCAATCTTACACAGCCTGAAATTACCTTGGACACTTCGTCTGAAAGCGATATCGTACTCACACTGCTACGGCTTTGTTGGATAAAATGCCGTTTCTGCACAATATTTTTGGGATCAAGCTTTGCCTCAGCTGAGTTTGATTGGAACGGAATTCGAAAGGGAGTCTGAAAACGAATCTGCCATGCCAAAATTTCGCAAAATTATTCCAAAGTGTGCCAAAGGATGGCGACAAATTGAAAAATAACGCAATGATTGAGGTCAAATTAATCCGCCTTTCTATAAAGTCTCCACAAACATTCAAGCATTTCCATACTCACAGGAAAATAGAATGAACTCGGAAAAAGGCGAAAGTAAAGTTGCACAAAAAAATCTTAAATTCTCTGCAAAGCTATACCGCATATTTCGGCCACGTTAATGTAGATCAAAAAATTTTAGCAATAAAAGATGTTATTTTGTTTGTTGTACGATAAGAACGTACTTTAAAGAATCTCGATTCTTTCTCCGACAATATCAAGACGTTGTAATCGACATCCATAGCTATCTTGTAGAATCCGTAGTCGTATTGCATTCTGTGGTCAACAATGAGATCTTCTAACACTTTTAAGTTTTCTTCAACTGAAAATAGTGCATATTAGGGAAATGATGAATATATTGGAGAAACTGGATAGCTGCCTAATACCTACCGAATCCACTGACGGGGAAAGAGCCTTTGGGAAGCTGAGTTTCGTCAATGATGAGCACTGTACCATTACTCAGCTGCAGCTCTCCCTGTAGAAGCTCATCCGCATCGTAGTTTTTTACAGGGGCGAAGCGTTTCTTGCATAGCAAGTCAGACGACAAGGTAAGGACTTTAACCTGGATAAAAAGTTAGTAAAACTGCTAGGCGGCAAAAAAACTGTACGGGTTTACCTTTGGCATTAAACGCTGAACCATCTCAATAATCGATTTTGACGATTGAGCGTCTTTCACTCCAGCAACATTGAGCGGAAAAAAACACAGTGGCGTGCCTCCAGGACGGGAGTACCTTCAAAAAATAACGTGTATACCAAGCATGCTTCATGTACAATATTCAAAAAACCTACGTTGTAGACACCAGAAAGTTGACAAAGGTATCGGCAGCAGCCGAGCTACCAAGGATTGTGGAGATTTCCTTGGTGAGTTCGGAGCGGAGTGAGGTGGGATCAGAGACTAAAAATTAGCTATCCTTAAGCTCTCTTAAAGTATCAAAATAAGTACTCATCAAGTGAGACATACTGGTTAAGGCATCTAGGGTTGGCCGTTGGGTGTGAGAAACTTCCTCAACACGAAGGACATGAACATTGTAGTGCTTAGAAGCTGTTACCTCTTCTTGACTAAACAGGGAGTATGCGTCGATGTTTGCAGAAGAAAAAAGGAAATTATCAAATTACCTCTCAGTTTGTTCATGAACAGGAGTTGACAGATAGCCGTATATATCTACAACGGTGTTGGGTTTGAGCTCAGGTGTGCTGCCATCAAAGATCTAAATTTTGAGGAATTACTGTATTCAGAGTATGACTGTTAGAGTCCAAAAGAAGCTGAATAAACAATTTGAATACAAAAGTGCTCACCTTTGCTATGAACTCGGAAACTTTTGTAGGAGTTGGTATTGAAGAGTTGGTGTCCATGGCATCTAAATCAATACTTCAGAAAGGGCATGGATAGCGTGGCTCCAACAAAAGTACAATGAAAATCCTGTTTCGTATTCTATTTTTTATGAAGAAAATCCACATGATTTGAGAAACAGCCAAGATACGATCATCAATTCCCTAAAATCAAGTGACAAGAGACCAAAAAATATCAGGGATGTAATCAACGTCAAAGCAGCTGACTTCTGCATTCGGTCAAGAATAAGATTCGAGAAAAGCAGTACACTAGGAATCATATATAGATGCTGCAAAAAATCCTATCGGCTATTGTGAGCTGCCTTGCACTCAGTTACCCCTCTCAATTCTTTCAGGTAGCTAAAAGCAGAAGCTCGTAGTGCATTAATTCAAGCAGATGAGATTTGGATACAACTTATCCACTAAAAAAACTGTTTTACGATACTCACAATTTTGCCAAAAACAGGAAAAACCTGGCTCAAAATATCAGTGCATTTCATGCAGCTATGTGAATTTAGCAGAATATAGGAGACATTAGTAATTATAATTGTTCTCAATACTTGGAAAGAAAAGTAAAAAAAGAGAAAAAGAAGAAAAGAAAAGGGCAACAGAAGTTAAGCTTACCTTCTTCCCTACATAGAGCTGTGGTGTGACTTTCACTGAACTCATTAATCCACCAATCACTAGCTCCCGGTACCATAACCATTTTGTACACATTTCGGCAGCCATGCGTCCCATGATCGATGATCTCCTACAACAAAGAAAATAACCACCACATGAATTTTCATCAAATGTAATTTCACCTTGATGTCCTCTCCAAAGTAATCCCTGAGACAACCGGTAGTTTCTTTCTTTTCGTTTCCATCCGAAATTGTGCAGGAAAGAGGAAAGTATTCTGTAGCGGATAGGCATAAGAGTAATTTCCAAAAATCTATTCGTAGAAAAATCTTTACCTGGCGCTAAAGTGTTTTGGACCATGCATCGCGCGGAGACCAGGTAACCAGGTAAAACTTCCGAAGAATGCATACATACGAAGAGTTTCTAGAAGAAAGTTTCGAAGATGTACGAAAGCAAGATAGTAATTTATAACTATAACTATATTAACTCAAATAACGAACCTTATCTTCGTAGATTTTGTTTATGTCTGCAAAAAAATTTTCCGGTGATTCGATGTAGTCTTCTTTGCTTTCTAAATAATAAAGTAAATGAAAGAAACGAAAAGAATAAAAAATGATCACCAGCTAGTTACGGCTAAACATCAAAAGGTAGCATAAAAAAGAAGAAGACAAGAGACAAACTTCACACAAACTAACTTTCCCATAATGCATCCACAACTTTCGTAAATTCCTTCGATGCTAGCTCGGGAGCAGGTGCCATTTTCTGATCTGAACAGTCATGATCAACAGATAAACACAAAAGAGAAAAAGTAGAGTAAAACAGCAAATGAATGGTGGGCGAATAATTGAACATCACGTTTTCGCGCGTTTCAACATGTGAAGGTTTTGTCATTGGAGCACATCATGTTTGGGGGAAATGAAGGGATTGGGGGGGGGGGGGGTCGGAGTTGGATAACAGTTTGTTGCTCTATAGTAATGGGTAATGTTGTTCACACTGTGAGAACCATATAAGACTTTTGTTAGCTTCAATATCAGCCTTTTAAACGGTGTCCAGGCAAGGAAAGTAAGTTTTTGCTGTACAATGATTATTCAGTCATAAATAAAAAATCTCCAAAAGAAATGTAGTAATTCTTGTAAAAGCGTCTATTTGTCAGGCATATTCCTAGTCCTTACAGATTCATCTAGGAGCAAAAATTGTTTGAGAATATGAAGGGTAATCCTGACATGCAATCTCGTTGATCCAAGTCGATATAGTGCCGTTGCGGTGCCAACAGCTCTTACGCGTGCAAAATGGCCGTGGTGCGTAAATGCTGAAAATGTGTCATTTCTTTTATGAGCACAAGTAATGTAGGCACCTCGGGAATACTATATTCAGCTTTGGAAACACTACTTTCAGTCGTGCTTCGAAATTTTTCCCAGAGAGAGGAAGGGGGGGGGGGGGAGAGGGGACCGGCAAAAACTTTTCTTGAACCAAAGCGCTTTAGTACTGGTCGGTGCTGACAACACTTATACGTAGAAAAGGTAATAGGGGGGAAGGCATGTTTTTTTCACGTGCAGAAGTCGTTGACAGTGGAAGGGCACTTTTTAACCGCCACAAATTTATGCCATGCTTTCTAAAATTTTCGATGGCTTATAACCCCGTTTCGAGAAAAACGGGCATGGCGCAACGCACCGAAGAAAATTTTTGACAGTGTTAACTTGAATTTTGAATTCTTAGAATTATTTTGAGTGTTCAGAAGTAAAGTGAAGTTTGTACACCTATAAGTCATGTAGAATACTTTAAATAAAAACCTTTCTCCTCCTTATCCCCACCCCTCCCCCCTCAGCCCGTCCATATTTCCAATTTTTTTCTTTTAAGATGAAAGCGCAATGGGTTACTATCAATAGCCGAAAATTGTTTTATTTGTTTTTCTAATTTTAACCTATTCTTCATAGCTATTTTTCAATTTTTGTTTGTATCTCTATACTAATCCTTCTACTCTTCCATTTCTATCTCTGCTCGCCATTAACGCCAGTTACATACATTGTGTATAGAGAAAAAAATTTTTCGGACCGACGCCAATATTAGCCGTTTGCAAATTAAATTAACAAATTCCCGCTGTGCGAAGTGTCGCCAATTATTTTCGGCGATGGAAATCGATTATTATTTAATTTAGGCTATTACTAAGTTGTATGCACATGCAGTACTTTTCCCTTAATTCTAAAAATAATCCATCTTCTCCTAAGTCCACACTCATCGACGAATGAGTGGATATCTAGGTGCACCAATGTTTATCCGGCGTTTTATTTGTATTGTCGAATCGATCGTAAAGCCACCCGAACCGACCCCCGACACCCCCCTAACAGCCCCACTCTGAAGTACATATAGATCCTGTGCGACAAGCTCAAGTACACTAAAACGACCATTCAATTGCTCCCTACCGGGCTCTGTGGGTCATTGAGCAGGCGGGTTCGGGGCCCCGGTTCTACTTGATCGTTTTTTCCGCGCTGTTGTTCCGGTTTCGTACAGTCCCTAGCAATTCCGTTGTCAGTGCAACTCTGAGCAGTCAGGAAGTCCTGTCTGAGAATTGAGTCAATTTTTCTAGGCTACCATGGATCTGCTTTTGCTGGTCTTGTCGTTAATTAGCGCAAAATCCTCTTTTGTAGAATCCAGAAGTGAGTTCCTGCATTTACCTTTATCTCTTTTCAAATTTTTACCATTTATGCAGTGAATTTACCTTGCTTATACAAATATCCTATAATGTTCTTGAATTTGTTTACATTTTTATAGTTTTTTCTTATCTTATTTGTTCATACTTTAATACCCAAAAGGATCTTCACAAGTGATTGAAATGATTTTGTGCTGTTAAAACCACATTTCTTCATACTAATTTATTCTCACACCAAGATTCCCACATAACTTTTTCAATTTGCTTCCTTTCTCATCTCCCATAGCCTCTTTATGTTCTATATTTTGTAATCTTGGCTAAAGCTTTTTCAACAAGGCCAACTTTGTGAGATTCCTAAAGTCGAAAGTTTTTTGTCTCAAATCATTAATTTTCAGTTTTTGATTGATTTCTGAAATTTGCTATGTAAAACACTATATTCACTTTGAATCCTTTCCTCTGCTTGCTGCTCGATTTTCTCTAGGAAAGGTAGTTTAGATAAGTATGTCCATCTTTACTGTGTCGCTGAAGTAATTTGCACTCTTTTGCATTCGAAATACGATACCATAGCAAACAGAAAATTGATATCCTCTGTCATCGTTTTGATGTTTATCTAAAAAATGAATGTCTTGGAGCAAAATGTTATAATAAATCTTCATTTTTAACAAAAAAGACTGACTTGCTAAGTAACAGCTAATTACTCAGTTAGCAAAAGAGCAAACATCTGTAAGAGAAGATACACCAAGCTTACGCAAACATACATTCAGGATCATTATAAAAAGTGGTCATGAAAAACTAGTGTAGTGAGAGAGTTTTGTTTCTGTGGAATGTGAGGGATGGCGCATTCCATCTAAATGTGCAAAAAACTGTTATCACAACTTCATTTGTTGTCTTGCTCTTCAAATCGACAACCGGAAAAAATTTCTTTTTCTCAGCTATCACAATAATGAATTTTTAACAATTTGAATGCTATATCTGATATGCCCAATTTCTGCTATCCTCACTGCTTATAAATTTCATAAAAACATGTTGTGTTTGCATATCGCTTGAAATGTAAGTCTTGCATCGAAAAATTTGAGGGATTTTTGAAATGTTTTCATGATTTCTTTCTGAGTTACTATTTTATATACTTTCTGTAACACACACCAAATAGTGCCATCTATCGAGCGTATTGGGGATTAGATTAGCCCAATGAAAAATGGAAAATAAGTGATTGACGTATATAATTATTCGTAGAATTGTCTAATCAAATCTCAAGCAAAAAGAGCAGGTAATGAAAAACCAGTACCACCGTTGCAGCAATAATCTTAGCTGTATAAATATCCGTTAACCATTTTTTGAATGTTTCCCAATCAGCTTGTATCATTGCGCTGAGGAAATAAGAGAATTGCTGTGAATACCCTTGAGCAAGATTTATTGGTAGATATGATAGTGAATGACTTCTTTTTGAATTGGTGAAAAATGATGCTTTTGTAAAAGTTTTGGTGCAAGACTTCTAATAATATTGATTAACAAGCCTATTTCGACTTCCAAAGAGAAGTAATTTTCAAACACCAAAGTGCATTATAGGGTAATTATCCATGGTCATGTTACACATCCTAAAATTCGATTTCGAGTATAAACAGACAACGCGTAAAGTGGGGGAAAAGTTTTTCAGGAAGGAAACTATTTGCCTACCTGGATTCCAGGCCAGTTCCGAAGTGTATATTTGAAGTGTTAAAGTGTACACAACTGGCGTTCATATCCGGAATATGCACACACTATTTCCATTACTAGTATGTGTACCATTAATAGAATGATGGAAGAGGGAAGAAAGTACTGTGCTCCCCCTCCTACCTATGCAAAAACTATGACTTTTGCAATCCAATGAAGCGTTCAAGTTTTGTATCCTTTGATTCAATTGGCTTGGCGGCTGAAAGGCGGAGTTTCGTGATCTAATTAAGGCTAGTTAATGATCAGAGAGCACGCGCGCGGGAGAGACGCAGATGCGTCGCTTGCGCGAGCGGCCTTAATTAGGTAACAAAGTCCCGCCTTCCAGCCGCCAAGCCTGTCGAATCAAAGGTTAAACTCTTAATAACCGCGGCGTTAGCAAACTTTCTTACGACATCCTATGTCATGAACTGAAAGCATTCTTACGGAGTTTCTAGCGCAGTTCGAGAGATTTCGTTCGGGGAAGGTAGTTTGAAAGAATTTTTTTAAAGGAAGGGAGCATGGTATCAGCCGTGCTTTCCGGAATCTATTTTCATACCAGATTTTTTTAGGCCTTTAAACCCATGTTTTACATAAATCAGTAATAATCATTAATTGTTTTTGTCTCCATTTTCCTGCTGCATATTGATAGCTATCGACCATACAGCTTACCCTTGCCGAGGAAGTAGATTTTCGAGAAATAATTTCTGGTAAGGTGTGGACCCCTTTCACTTACAAAGAAGCATAGCATTGAACAGATGTTCTTGCAAATTTCTTCCTTTCTGTTTTGTATATCCCTGGTTTCCTTTCTTGAGCTCTATTTTTCTCTTCTAGATGCATAACCATCTTCTGTACCCGCAGGCTCGCTGGTCTTCAAAAAATCTAATTTCTGAAAGAAAGTAAGATGTCCTGATCAATCGAGGATGTATTACCAAGTTCAACAACAAATAAATAAATAAAACTTGATGTAGATAGGCAAGATGAGAGAATGTTTCTACAAAAAAAAAACTACCAAATCAAAGCAAATGAAACTTGTACAAAGCTTACTAAACCATCATATTGGTTATTTTCTTCTCTTTATTTCATTTTTCAATCTTTCAAATATGCCACTTCAACTATTTATAGGTAAATGCTACAGCTGCGCATCTACTAATATGAGATCGGTGAGAAATTCCTTTTTTATGCTAGTATTCTAGATCACGCTAGTTTACCTTTGATATATGTTCATGTAGACTGGTTACTTTTAGAACTTTATAACAAAGGAACGAGGACCACCGAATCGAAAAACAGAACCTTTAACATTTGATAACAACTGTAACGAAGATCCTTGGATAATCAAGGTATGTCCATGTTTATTTGTTTATTCATTTGTTCATTAGTTGCAACCTATTACAAACTCGAATGCGCGGTCAATAATCATTACAAATGAAAAGGCACTGAGGGCAAGACCATAAAATCATCATTATCTGAGGAAAAAAAGATTTCAAACAACAGCCACACTCAGTTCGTAAATTCAGTGTGATACTATCACACCAAGTTAGCATGATATCGAATAGCATCCAAAATTGAATACCTTTATTGACTTTAACTATCGTTATTGAGTAAGACTGCCAGGTGCTCATGCATCCATTATTCGGATAGTTTTACAAATAAAATTACATGAAAGGCATTGAATCAAGGGACAAAATTGAAGCTAGACTAAGACAAACGCTAGAGGTGGTTACTCACATTTATTTCATTTTCAGATTAATAAAAATTCAATATGAAAGGCTGAGGCTAAGACGAATGGGCTAAATCATGTTTATCTTGATTAGTTCAGACTAAGCTCCCCTGACGCCGTGTTTCACAAGACATTACTTTTACAGTGTGTAACTTACATACACTACTCTTCATTCAAACAACCTCCAAAGTGAGAATTTGAGACCAAGTTAAGTGGGCCGAACGACTAGTTTTGTTCTTCGAAAAATCTAACACTCTTTCTTTCCTCGAAAATGATTACCATAACCTCAGCTAATATTTGTCAAGTGTAACCGTCTTTTGGCTTTTCGTACATACCGTGACTGCAATTTTGCATTGGCTTTTGCATTTTGCATCAGAAAAATTATTCCCTCAAATTTCCCCTTCATATAAAGCGAGGTTATGTCATATTAATCTCTAAGAAAACTTTTTGAACCAAAGTCGGTAGTTTGTCCGGTTTGTTTCCCTCTGGACGGTATTATGCCATACAGAGCTCTATGTTTGCCATGAGATGGTGATTCATGTTTTTCTGGCACATAATCGGAGCCACATAAACAAAGCTCCAAGTTTCGTGAGTGAATCGGACCTATACCGTGCAGAAAATATTGTATGTAATAAGTTGGAAAGGAAAGAATGTCATTCACGTTTGTCATTGTCGAGAACATTTTTTACTGCTAAAATCGATATTTCTCAGAAACTAAACCATTTACAAGGCCGAATTTTTTTGCTAAAGTTTCGAAGGTTCGTAGTACCAACTATATGTGGGGAACCGAGGACCTTGACTTTCAATAAAGAGAATTGTAGCAAATGTATACAAGTGCATGAGTCTGCTTCATGTAGGAGCAAACAAGAAAATCCTAGGTTTTTTTGAACGAGGAAGCGTTTTATGATGCCGTGAATTGTTCATGGATTTCGCTTTCGAACTTTGCTTCATGATTTTTCCAATGTTTGGAGGTTATCTTGTAGACTTTGCCTTTTTCCAACGAATAATACGATCCTTATACTTTTCAGGATCCTGTTGCTTTACCATGTAATCGTTCTTTTACAGCCTAATCTGTCATAAGCAAAGGACTAAACACCAATTCATATTTCTGTAGAATAATACCGTAATTTTCGGAATTTTGCGCCTGTATACCCTTTGTCTCACTGAAGTTGGCGGCTGGAGGGTGGGGCTTCAATCGATTAAACCACCAAAGCGTGGGAGAGCAGGCTCTGCATCTCCCTCGCGTACGTGCTCTCTAATCGACCAAAATCCCGCCCTTCAGCCGCCAACTCAAGTGAAACAGAGGTACTAAAGCGAGTAAGAGGCACTTGCTCTTCCTCGAAGCTTTGACTGACAACTAGCTTGCGACCGGCAACCTAAATGGGTGATCCTTTCATTTTTTTTCTATAGGTAGTTTCGCTCGTTTTTAGAAATTCGCGGACAAGATCATTAGAATTCATGTTTACAAACGTTCCGGGCTATATCCAAAAAATGAAAGCATAACCCGCTTTTGGAAGTTTCAAATCCCTAAAATTTATTGTAATTTGGTGAGTTTGTGTCTGACGTAGGCTTACTAATCCAGTGGTTTTGATAAGGACATTTTTCTCTATATATACCTACGCGCTAATTCTGCTTAGGAGAAGCTGGCACTGGCCATTATAATAGAAGGTGTAAGTTGTGTTTAAAACGAGTTTGATTGGGTGGCCGCATATGAACTCTGAACAAAAAATGAATCTATTTAATTGAGACCAGGGCTCGGCACGAGCTGGCACCAGGGAATTTTCAAAACGAAGTCCCCCTTGAAATTTGCTAATTTTTACGAAGTCCCCCCCCCCTGTGATCCCAGACCAAAATCCCTGAAAATCCTCCAAAAAACGAAACGTCGACTAAAAAAAACATCGCAATTTGTCGACAAAAGCGATATGCCCTTTGCTTTTTGACTCAAACGATATCCAGCTTGTCCCGTGCCAGCTGGTGCCAGCCCCTGATTGAGACCGTTGAATGCGTGAATGGTGCTTTATTATACAGTAAGATAAGATAGTGATAATTTTAGCAACGATCTACGGTAGTTTGCGATACAAAATGCTTCAAATGGCAACAACTACTCAATAATTCAGGTACTTTATATGATTCATGCTTATGACGGTCCACATCACTGTCTTGTTCTCCCACAACAACTTAGTTCAGGATCATATTCATCGATGACTTTTCGAGGATGCTATGATAGAATGTTCGATATGATGAATCCATCAACGTTGGCGATTCCCGATCACAACTTTTGCACGGCTGGAGAGGTATAGTCGTTGCAAATGGAGTAGAAATATTTTATTTGACAGTGAAACATATAACAGCAAAAATTAAAATGATGGAAACCCCCATATATGTTTTTTGATTGTAAAAATTCTGAATAGTAAATAGTAATACTAAATAGTAATGATCGCTTTTTCAGGCCCAGCTCTCTTGCCTCTCTGATGCTTCTGTCATCGAACATTCATGTTGGTGTGATGGAGACTACTGTAACTCAGTTTCAACACCATCATATGCATTATCAGCAATAATAGGACTTTTATTGATAAAGGTTTAGCTAATTACGTCTACAGATGGACAAATCATCACAGAATTCTTAAAAACAGATCGGCTAGCAGAAAGTTGAGGCTGGGTTGTAACGTTTTGTGCCCGCTAGGAAGCCAAACCTGGCCCACAAAATTCCAATCAAACTTTCAGTGATCCAAAAGCAGACTAGAAATCGGTGAGCTCAGACTCTCTTAGAGGGCTACAACGGCTTTGGCTTGCATCCTTGAAGAGACGTTTGACTGAAGATTTTCCGTTTACCTGAGGTAATCCGTCTCGTCAATCTCGTAGCTTGAAGAGCACAAGATTGTCGAAGGATTTCCAAAGCGTCAAATTTTTGAGCGTTATAGAGGCTCTAGAGTCGTTGTGAGACTCTTTGATCCTTTGAGACCGTTCGATGCTAAAGCTCATGAGACCTGAAGCGAGACGAGTAAAGCCAAGTGATCATCATTCTGCTTGTTGTCACTACTCTGTTGGAGAAATTCTAAGGCGCAAACTGTATATGAAGAATTGTTGACAAAAACATTTTCTTCTACTTTATCCAACGATTAAAAATTTCTCAATTGTAAACTAGAGATGCAAGAAAACCATTAGGGCAGAATATCCCAAAGGATTGCTTGATAAAGCAGAGACTTTAGAATGAAGAGTCCAAAAAGCATTCAAAAGTACCGTGTCCAATAACATCTATTTGCAGTCTTGTAAATATGGGCTTAGTTTGCGCCGTGTGACGGCCAGAGACGTACAGCAGAAACAAGAGACGAAGCAAATCAGAACAAAAGCCTTTATGTTATTAGATTTCAAATAAATTCAATAGACACTTTATTCAAAAGTGAGACCATAAAGTCGTAAAATAATAAATGAAACGATGAAAAGCTTCCTAGGTATTGCGGAAATTTCGATGCTTTTTTGCTTGCAAGCCAACATTTGCTGCTTCTGTGGCTTGCAATGCAAACTTTCCTGTGTTTTTGTATTTCTCAAAACAATTAATTCTTGAGATAGGAATTTCTTTTAAGCTGCTGTTTAGTATGTACTTAAATATGCTTGTGGGAACGTACTCGCAAATCTTGCAAAGATAACGATTTTACTTCATAAAACAATGTTTCATATATGAATAAATATCATCTTGTCACAACTCTTTCTATTCAAGGTCATTCGCAGCTTTCTTCAGAACTTGATCCGGGTAAAGTTTTGTTTTCATTTGACTAACGGCTAGAACTGAGTCCGTTTTTGCTTTTTGATACAGGCGCGCGCATATTCTAATATTAAAATGGACTGCCGCGTAAGCTACAGACTGACTCCTTTTTGATGACAAAACAGAAAAATCTGACGAATTATCGACAATGGTGAGATTCGAAGGTTGTGGGTTCATAGTGAAAATATTAGGTTGTAATAACATAAGTCTTGAGACACTTGCATTTCTTAGTAAGTCATAGAATTCACATTTTCGATAGCTGCCCAGGATACCCTTCGATAGAGCAAAGCAAGCTCTACAAAACGGTATGCAAAAGTTCGCACCAACATCGACCCACTATAAGTTTGCATTGAAAATTTGAGTCGTCTGAAGACTTGACAAATCGCGAAAAAATTAATATCTTTGTTCAATAAAATCCTACGAATCTCCAACTTGCTCATAAAACCTACACATCCTTTGTAAAATTCTAAGCCTTCACCAAGATTGGTATAACGTTTATTAGGCTAACGTTTCGGCCAACTCGCCTTCGTCAGAGCCTGTAATAAGTGAGTAACATATGAGATCTACTCACCCAAACGCCTTGTCATCTTGTAGGAAAAAAACAAAAAGTTGTACGAAACGACACTTAGGTCGAACTGCTCACCTTAAACTTAAGGTCGAGACCACCCACCACCGAGTGACATACAATGACTGACTTAGTTAGGGTTCCTGACTTGGAGGTAGTAGGTCAAACTCGCATAAGTCAAGGAACGGCGCGAGCTCATTAGTTATGGCAATGCACTCGTCTTTTCTGTTCATCTGCGGATTTCTATTCGAAATCCAGCAGGCCTCTAATGTTTTGCGTGCCGCAACCTCTGTTTCTCTAGACAGAATTTACACTGAGACGTCGAATTCTGTGTTGTGGTGCTGCAGCTTACGATACGTGCCTAGGGGTGTTGAGAGCCTTGATTTGCGCAACCCGCCCAAGTCCGCAGGCACAGTGATCTTCCCGTTTCTCCTATGTACTCAGCCGCGCATAACTTGCATGTAACCAGGTATATCACGCCAGAGCACATATAAATCCCAGGCCTGTTGGTGGTGCAGATGATGCAGAAACCCTCCTTGTTTCACAGGTTCTGTCGTACGCTCTGTTGCGAACCAAACGTTGCCTCAGTTGAAAGGAGGAACTTCGACTACTCGTAGCCAGTCCTACAAGCCTGATTTTCGCACGCACGCTCTGATTTCGCTACTAAACCCATTCGATATGAACGGAATGCAGAATGATACCTTATCCTTCTCTTCAGGGGAATTACCAAGCAACCTGCCTGCAGCGTACTCTTGCGCTCTTACATGGAGAGTACCCATTTGCCTGCGCTATTTGAATAGTCTTTTGAACCGCCGCAGCTTTGAGATGGTCATCCGATGACACTGCTTTGGCCGTTCGCAACATGATTCTAATAACGCTTTGCTTTGTGCGTACTGGATGCGCAGAGAGTGATGTATGAGTATGTTCTTACTGCGTGGTTTTCTGTACCAGCTAGTCTTACACTCCCCTTTGCTCAGATGTAATTGAACATTTAAGAATGGAAGCCAGCCGTCTTTTGGCTTTTCCCTGATGAACCTTATGTCAGCTGATTGACTGTTGAGTAGGTCGAAACAGGTATCCATTTCTGCCTGAGTCGAACACACGATGAGGCAGTCATTGATATAACGACAATAGAGAGTAGATGTGCGGCATATAACTGGATGTTCTACTTTCGACATGAAGGTAACAGCCAACAGCGGTGCTAAGCTTGCCCCATGGCAAGCCCCCTGATCTGCCGAGTACTGCCCGGACCAACGAAATATTGCGCTGTTGAGACAGCCTTTGATTAGCGTCATAATCTGCTGGACTGTGAAACCGTACAAGCTTATACTTGCGGCATTTTTGCTCAACAGCTCAATTACTGCTTGTAGCGCGGCAGAGTTCGACACATTAGTGTAAAGAGAAGTAACATCAAAGGATTCAACGACTTCGACTGAAGGGAAATGCTTGCTTCGTAGATGGTCCAGTAGAGCATTTGTACTAGTCAAGTGCGCTGGGACATACTGCAATAACTGTGTGAGAATAAGATTAAAGGCAGTGTCCAAGCAAAAAGTAGATTTTGAGATTCTGTGCTTATCCGGGCCTATTCGCCATGCTGAATCCGATAAACCATAATGAAGAGCGCGAAAACGCCAAGAAAAAGCCCTAACGCAAGAGGGAAATCGCAGGTGGGCGGGGCCGTTCACACCGTGATTTCACTCTCCCAAGCTTTAGGAGCGATCTTCTCGGTTCCGATTTTATGTCATGTGTTTCTGTTTCCCAGTTGGCTGGTGGTGATGTTAGGGCGGTTAACGGAAGCAAGAAAATCGCTCCTGAAGCTGGGAGAGTGACGCCACTCTGTGAACAGCCCCACCCACCTGCAATTCCCCTCCTCCGTTAGAGCCTTTTTTCGCCGTTTTCGCGCTCTCCAGTGTTGATTTTCGGATTCAGCACAGCGAATAGGCCCAGGTAAGCACAAAATCTCGAAATGGACTTTTTGCTTGGACACTGCCTTTAAGTAGCCAAGCGATCCTGTCCATAGGACCTCTGACGTTGCTTATGATGGGTCGAACTTAGAAGTTCGATGGGTCTCTAGAAGATAGCAACTCAGGGGGTATCTTATGTATTTTATGAGGACCTAGAGGACAGGACACAATGGTAGATCAGACTTTGAGCGTGACACTATGTGCTTAACAAGCCGGCAGCCCGCGCTGTTTCTACCCATAGTCTGTTCAGCTTTCGATATTGTCTCGTGTATTCTTTTTCCGACGATTCGCAATATGTCGTTGTGTCCTCAAGACGTTGTTTTGTAATCGCCATCTCCATCTCTTTGGATAGTACCACAAATTCGCCGCCCTTATCGCAAACTGCTATTTTGATGATATTTGAGGTAGCTAAATCACGAAGTTCTTTGAGACCCCTTTTTTGCGCGGCTGATAAATTGGGCGCCGGCGCCTATGCACGTATCGTTTGAGGTAAAAACCGATGTTGCGAAAACCCGGCAAGGAGTGTCTACTGAGGGTACTGGCTCTTGCGGCTTAAAGAACATGGACGGGAATGGCACACTAGGCAAGGTGGTAGTTATCGACTGATGATTGACTTGCTGCGTTTCCAATCTAGCCCGGTATCGAGGCGATCTTGTACGATTGGAGATTACCCACAATTTTGCGTGCGACCGCGGGGCATACTATATCAGACACTCATATGTAACGTTCCTGGATTTTTTTCCCATTCAGAAATCGAGAAAACGAAAACTTGAATGTTCATACAAAGACGGTGCTATGCTGTTTTCATTTAGTAGCTGTATACTACAAGCTCTTAGAAGCATAACCGTAAATTTTCAGCCTTTTACGATCCCTAGGTTTTGAGAAACATTGATTCTAGCATGGAACACCCGAGTGAGGAGAGCTAAACCCGGTAATTTTCAAACCAGGGCCCTATGAAAAACTAAAATTCTACAGTTATGTTCCATGCGTGCCCTCGATACATAGACCCATGTACTCTAGTAACCTTCACTTTGGGGGCCATGAGGGACACAATCATCACCTGGAAATAAAACAAAACCAGAATTCAGGACAGAATTTCTCAGCTAACCTCTTATTTGACAAAAAATGACTTTTAGAAGCTTGGTAAAGTCGTGGGAGTTAAATAAGAAGGAGAAACTGCGCTCAAATCTTGCGCGAAGAGTCGCGCACGAAAATGCTGGCCTATCTCGTTAATAAGTGATTTTTAACGGTTGTGACATTGTCAGCTCTCCTCGTCGTGTCATGACGTTCAAAACGATATACAATGTTGCAGGGTTTCGTTGGGGTCCCGCGTAGATCTATGACCAAAATGCCCTCGGTTCTCTCTGTCTCCGTTGCTCGTCTGCGTCTCAACGCCCTGCGCCGACCTCGCTACCCCAAACGCCGGCGCAGGGCATTTGGCTCTGGTACCCTTTCTTTGTTGTTTCGAACCCAATTTTAGCAAGCTATATACCATTTTGAAGCTCTTGATCTCTACTTTCACGCTGACAACGTCCCAAAACCATATTTTTTGATTTGGTCCGGCAAAAACCGGAAATCCGGCAAAAACCTTGTTCTCGAAAATATCTTGTTTTTCCCCTAGTTTAACTTTCTCCACGCGGTTTTTCGTACATTCTATAGATCTTGCTTCTGTTCATAGTGCAGACAACCACCCAGCCCTTATCTCTTCGACTATGGCGGAACTTTTTGTGAAAAATCGTAAAAAAGTGCTTTCACCTTTATCTTGAAAGAACAGAACCAATACAGAAGTTGCCTTCACCTTTATTCTCTTTCAATGTTTTCAAAGCAAATTTTTTCCAGCTTGGGCGGTTGTTGCTTAGAATAATAAGTGCAACATTCCAGACAACGTCCCAGGAAACAGGAATGTGAATGCGGGGGTGAAAATTCAAACAACGCATCAAAAACTAGATTTGACCTGGACGTGCATTTCGACTTAAAAAAAAGAAATTTTGCGTTTTTATAATTAGTTTCTTTCTTGTTTAACTTCTTCTTGATAACCTACTTCCGAAACGCAGTTTTTTTGAAAACAATCGCAAGGAAGGACTTAGCTCTTCTCGTTTTTCCCGTGGTGCGAATTTCTGGTTCTGAAGCGAAAATCTGTACCTTGAAAAGCCGCCAAATGAAAGATTTCAAACTCATCGCAGAGTTTTTATCCCGTTTTCAGCAGTTTCTTTTGCTTTTGATGTTATAAACAACCTTCACTTTCAATGAGAGGCAAATGTTCAAACACCTTCACTTTTGACGCCCTGTCTCTAGACTATCGAATGTATGCTCTTAGGGCCTTGTGGAACACAATTACATGGGCGAAAAACATAGCTGTGTTTTTTTTTATGAACATGAAATTTTCGTTTTCTTGATATCTAAACGGGCGAAAAATCCAGGAACGTTACGTCTGAGTGTCTGATGTAGTGTGCAGTTTTCATGAGCAAGCTGGAGATTCGTCGGATTTTTTTTTTGGACAAAGATATGAATTTTTCGCGATTTTTGAGCCTTCAGTACTACTCAGATTTTGGATCCGAACTTAGCGGGTATTTAGCTTAACTGAAAAGAAATGGAATTTGAAATATGAAGACAACTTGAAATCTGGCCTAAATATGAAGGGATCGCTATATGCAAGGCTGCTTTGGACAAATGTCAATGACTAAGAGGTTGGAATTTCAAAATTTCCCGAAGTTTGCATGGGGGGGGGGGGAGGGGCGGGTATTTGACCTGCCAAGCATGTCTTGTTCAGGGTGAATGACCATATCGTAAACTTACAGTGATTCAAAAAAAAGTTCCTACCTTGCAACTCAGCATCATTTTCGTGATCAGTATGTCAGATAAGCGCCCTAGCCAGTCTCAATCAAACATGTTAAAATCTATGATTTTTTTCAAACATATAGTCCCCATATCCCTCACTGTAACACACACATCATATAACACATACCTACCGTAGTAGCCTTCTACCGTAACCCTCACAATTTGGCAAAACTGTAGCTGTGCTTTTACTTACGTCATAGTCTAAATAATAACAAAATTTGAGAGCGTCATTTACAAAGAGAGAAGTTACAAAAGTAGCTGCAAAACTTGGTTAACAACGTAATATTTGAAGTTTGAAAATGGATGGTACGGCCACGGCTCATAGTATCTGATGCTTTTTCTACTTTTGTGTTAACATTACCTGCACAACACAAGAAATTATTGGTAGCAAAAAAGATGTGTGAGAGTACCTTGATTGAAAATTATTCGATTTTCCCGAAAAAGTTCTGCAGCGAAGAAGTGCTCTGGATATTGCGTGACATTTCGTGGGTTGGAACTCTGCTGATTAGCCAATCTGACTCATCAACCGCAACAAAAGCACATCATTGCTGCTGCGAAGCATAAATTGTAAATTGTCCTCGGCCGGTGTTCTCCTCTTTCCTTCTCATGTGATAAACTGAGTATTACAACTAGAATTTTCTAATACAAAATAAACTATAAATTTCTTTAAACTATTAACATCCGACAGCACTTGTAGGTCATCGATGCATGCATGCTTAATTTTACCACTTTTCATAACAGTCGTCGCAGAAGATTATGAATATTTGCTGGGAACAGATGATCCGCATTTGTACAGTGAGTCTCTTTACGATTTTTCGCCAAATCTCTGCCACTAGCTTGGCTTTCCCATAAGCATCTTTCACATCAAAAAGTTCGTGACACAGAGTTTGTAATTCAAAAGCAAGTTCTCAACTCCATCAACTATCTAATAATACTTCTCCGCATTGTCGGAATAGAGGAAGAAAATTTGATTGGTTACCACCAGATGCACTATCCACAGTGCAATTTCAAGCGTGTTCTGTGTTTCTTAATGTTTTCACTCTCGAACAATGAGAGAAGAAGTTCATATACAACTGGTAATATCGCTGCCACCTTCCACTTTACACTGCAGCTGGAATTAACATGCAGAGCAATGCTAGCATAGTGGTAGGTTTGACGATATTGGATCATGTTTCATTAGTAACGCTCATTTATTTTCACACGCTCAATCATTTCTATGGGAGTTGTACATCCAAATTCTATGGCAAAGCTAATCTTAAAAAAATAATTAAAGCTGTCACAGTCGGGCTTTTAATTGTATGTACAATACCGCTCACTTTTCTTGAAAGTTAGACGCGAATGTATGGACATGTATGGACATGTCCGTACATGTCCGTACATATCCATACATGTATGGACATGTCCATACATCAGCGTCGCGTGGCCATATCTCGCTTCAGAGTGGACGAATTCTGAATCCAAAGCCACCATTCGATTCAGCTCGGCGCGGAAAATCTTCTGATATATTGGAAATGGGGGTACGATGTCTTCGATATTTCGTTTCCAGTTTTTTCAATTTGTTCTGCGGAGGTCCTTTCGCGAATATGTGAAGCAACGCCTACCTAATATAGAAGACTCTACTGAGTACTATTCGATAATACTATTCTTGTAGATTCTGCGCTAAAAAATACGCTCAGACTTCTTCCTAAAGGAGATAGAAGCGTTGGTGAATTTTGGAAAAATCACGCGTTTTTAAATTCTACTCGCCATAACTTCCTTCGGAATAAGTATATTTTGAATCCGAAAGCAGCGCCTTGTTCAGCTCATCAAGGTGAATCTTCCAGTATACAGCGTGTCCTTGATATTTCGATTTCAGTATTCTTGAATCTTTCTGAGGACGTCTTTTCGCGAAGGTGTAAAGCAGCGAGCATTGTTCCGAGTACATTCCAGCAATGATTTTGCGCTAGCACTTTTTCTGTAGATTATGATGTGTTAGACAGTAGCCGCAGGTTTCTTTTCAAAGGAGATAGAAGGGCTGGTGAATTTTGGAGTCATGTCGTTCTGAATTTTTCTCACCATAACTCCAAGATATGAAGCTTTCTTGCTAAGCAGATGTGGTTTTCGTAATCAGCAGGTCGGATAACCCATATGAGCAAGTTCTACGATATGTTCGGGTTATTCCATTTTTTCTCGTTTTACGCTCCGGAAGCTCGCCGAAGGATTTTGGTCAAAATGTTGATGCTCTTGAATTGTAGAGAAACTTCACTTATAGAGGTTTTCGAACACGCTCTTTACGAAAATCGTGGTCTAGGATTACAGGGTCTTTTTGGAGAGATACGGTGAGGTGACTGTAACTGCATCACGAAAGTGCGTAAATTTGGCCGCACTTCTCGCGTATCTGTCAGAAACCTTGCCTGCTTGCTTTTCTCAGTCAAAGTTACTGGAGACTGTTCTATCGAACTGTGCATTACTCAGGCTCCAGTCTGTGCAATTCATTGAGTTACGAACCTAAAAAAACACGTTCTCATGAATTTTGCCCGAAATGTAAAGATCGCATATCTCGTCGAAATTCCACCGTGAGCGCTTGTACAACGCGCTGATCAAATCCTTTTACATTTTTATTTATCTATTTATTTATTCTATACGCTCTTGGCGTTCCATACAATAAAATAGAAAGCAGTCATTTATACTCTAACCGCAACGATAGTGCATCATTAGTTTGAGTCTAATCTTGATGAAAATATGATGAAAGCTTGTATTTGACTGCTCTATGATTATAATTATCGGAATTAAATGATGAGATTCATGGAGATGTACCCATGCCCCCTTTTGTCAGCAAAATATTTTGATTTTAACAAGCAAACAAGGTTTGATGGTAGGTATATTATCTGACCCCACCAAACCAGTAAACCAGTGTGAGCCAGTGACTCCAAGTGAATTTCAATAAGGGTTGTAATGATGGACAACTCATACGTAAGCGTGATCAAGTTAAGTTATTGTAATCTATGGAGATGGCAATCATGCCAACTCATTTGCCAGCAGAAGATGCTCCTGCAATAATGAAGCAAAGCGGGGCTCAGTTGGTGCAGTAATGCCAATCAACCTTGCCCAAATGATTCCGGGGAGAGTCCAATGACTCCGAAATAATATCAAATAGTTTCACTTTTTGTAGTTCATTTAAAAGCAAGTCAACAAGCTGTAATGATTAGGAAGAGAAGTAAATTGATTAGACTTGAACTAACGCAATAGCAAGATATGGGTTAGTAAGACATTTGAAAGAAAATAATATTTAAAAAACACAAATTGACGGTTGTATTTGGTATGCATTTTGTGGTCGGATAATGTAATCGCGCATGGCCAGCTATGGCAATACAGATGACGAATTGGTGCTATTCGTTACTCATTCTCAGATGTGTTGATTCTGCGTTTTAAAACATTCGTGCTCTGAGATTGTAAAGTATCTGGAATCTTTTAATTAATCTTATTGTGTTAGATTTGGTGCTTTGAGCTCTAGCCACGAAATAGCGTTGATATTCAATTGAGCAACTGAAGCAGACGCAAGCACCATCAGTACAGTGGGAGTCGTTTAACGAAGCGAACATAATATCTGCAACGAGCGTCATACAAGCGCTCACGGAGGAATTTCGACGAGATATGCGATCTTTACATTTTGGGCAAAATTCGTGAGAAAGTGTTTTCGTGGGCTCGTAACTCGGCGAATTTCACAGACTGGAGCCTGAGTAATGCACTATTCGATAAAACATTTTCAGTAACTTTGACTGAGAAAAGCAAGCAGGCAAGGTTTCTGATAGATACGCGAGAAGTGCGGCCAAATTTACGCACTTTCGTGATGCAGTTACAGTCACCTCACCGTATCTCTCCAAAAAGACCCTGTAATCCTCAAAGACCACGATTTTCGTAAAGAGCGTGTTCGAAAACCTCTATAAGCGAAGTTTTCCTACAATTCAAGAGCATCAACATTTTGACCAAAATCTTTCGGCGAGCTTCCGGAGCGTAAAACGAGAAAAAATGGAATAACCCGAACATATCGTAGAACTTGCTCATATGGGTTATCCGACCTGCTGATTACGAAAATCACATCTGCTTAGCAAGAAAGCTTCATATCCTGGAGTTATGGTGAGAAAAATTCAGAACGACATGACTCCAAAATTCACCAGCCCTTCTATCTCCTTCGAAAAGAAACCTGCGGCTACTGTCTAACACATCATAATCTACAGAAAAAGTGCTAGCGAAAGATCATTGCTGGAATGTACTCGGAACAATGCTCGCTGCTTTACACCTTCGCGAAAAGACGTCCTCAGAAAGATTCAAGAATACTGAAATCGAAATATCAAGGACACGCTGTATACTGGAAGATTCACCTTGATGAGCTGAACAAGGCGCTGCTTTCGGATTCAAAATATACTTATTCCGAAGGAAGTTATGGCGAGTAGAATTTAAAAACGCGTGATTTTTCCAAAATTCACCAACGCTTCTATCTCCTTTAGGAAGAAGTCTGAGCGTATTTTTTAGCGCAGAATCTACAAGAACAGTGTTATCGAAAAGTACTCAGTAGAGTCTTCTATATTAGGTAGGCGTTGCTTCACATATTCGCGAAAGGACCTCCGCAGAACAAATTGAAAAAACTGGAAGCGGAATATCGAAGACATCGTACCCCCACTTCCAATAAATCAGAAGATTTTCCGCGCCGAGCTTAATCGAATGGTGGCTTTGGATTCAGAATTCGTCCACTCTGAAGCGAGATATGGCCACGCGACGCTGATGTATGGACATGTCCATACATGTATGGACATGTACGGACATGTCCATACATGTATGGACATGTCCATACATGTATGGACATGTACGGACATGTCCATACATGTATGGACATGTCCATACATGTATGTTCATGTCCGTGCATGTCCATACATTCGCGTCTATTTTTCAAAAAATGTGAGCGGTATTGTACTATAGAATGACTAACTTCAAAAATAATCAGTACTTCGTATTGTGACAAATAAGACGCTTTAATCGCTAGAGTTCGTCGAACTTCATGTAGCGCAACAATCGTACATCATACTCTGCTGTCTTCATCTTCTCTTAAGTATGAAGTGATTTAGAATTGCACACATGCATGCAAACCTCCAGAAGCTCCAGTGCATGGCACACAAATCTTCGATAGACAGACACAACAAGTGCTGCCCTCTTTTACTGATTCATTAACACATTGACGACTACGCAAATTTTTGATTTTCTGCCTCTTGGGACCAATACCTTTTACGGACTAGTCAGCATTTTTAGATACGATCACGCATACTGCCATCTACATATACTTACAGTAGCTGTGGAAGGTGACGAAGAAGGTAGAGGTCATTTCTAGATTCACAGCAAAAGAAAACTTTTAAAATGACTTCGTAGCAAGATATTCGTCTTTAACGAAGTTCAAGCCTTGACACACCATGTGTGTCAAGCGGTCCCACTTGGTAGTCATTGCTTGACACACATGGTGTGTCAAGCGGTCGTCAATGTGTTAACCAGCATTCGGTCCTGCGCGGATTATGTTGTTGGGTGCCGTGTAGGGAACAGAAAGGGATACTTGACAGAAACAAATATGCTTACCTCCTCTTCCGTCAAAAACTATAAGGTCGGTGCAAAAGTTCTGAGTTTTTTGAAGTCCCGCCCAGTAAAGATAGACTAACACTTGAGGCTGTATCCGATGCAGAATTTCTTTTTCTTTCCGGCTGCTATATTCACAGTGGAAATCGTTGAGAGAGTGCTGACTCGCTGAAGATTACAACCCTTTGTTTTCACCATGTCCGACTTTAGCTAATTTAATTTTGATTTTGATTTTTTCCAACTTTTGTTGGAAACTTTTGGGACAGCTTTGATAACCAGCAGATAGTGCAAAGCTTTGGCCAACTGAAACAATACTTCTCACTCACCTATCTTTTTAAGAATTTCGCTAAATAATTCAACGTCTTGAGTTTCAAAAAATCGCATAGACTGTCTTTTCTAAACACTACAGAATGTTGAGAATACTGAGATTTTGGCACTCGATTATCGCTTTCACTAGCCTCACAAGGTAAGTGAGCAATTCTTTCTTCAAATCATGAGGATTTTAAAACTCTACCTCAGTGCGCATTTGTAAAATTTAGAAATATCGCGATTTTGCCCCGTTCGCGCTTTCGCCAAAAAAGACAACTTAAAAAAGAAGAGGAAAAGCTGCATCGAATAATATTTGTACTGTCTACCATATCTTCTTCTACGAGACTAGAATAGGCCAAATATAAAATTGCCATATAAAAAAACAACAGAAATAAAAGACAATCACATAGCTACAAAAATTGCTTCAAATGGCAAAAGGTTTGCCCTATCTGCTGGTTATCAAAGCTTTTCCCAAACTTAGATCAAATCCTAGAATTCAGTGAAGATTAGACTTGGTCGAAAGGAGGTTTGTGTCTCCAGCGAGTATCTCACAAGGGAAGGACCCTCAGTCGAAGTAAGGTTTCCACACGTGATGCATATAATTCTGTTGGGCATGGGGCACTAATACCAGGTTCGTGTTTCTTAGAAGCTCAACGATCTTCTGGGATAAGTTATGAGCTACGGTTCCCACAATGACCGATGCACTTTATGGGTCTGGGGCGCCAAGGAATGTGCAGGTGTGGACGGATGGGTGGGTGGATAGTTGCAGAGACTATGGCGCAGGTGATGAAGAGTTCGCGTTCCCTTTGGAACCAGACTTTGCTTTGCAATTGTATTTTGTAGATTCGCAGACGATTCTCGAGCAAGCAGACCCCGCTGAAAATCGCTTGCGATTTCACAAAATACAATTTGCAAAACGCAAAGTTGGCTACACAGGAAATGCAACTCTTTACCACCTGTACCGCAGTCTCCGCAGCCATCCACCCATCCATCCATCCACACCTGTACATTCATGGCGCCACAGACTTATAATGTGCAGTGGTCATCGTGAGTAACCGTTCCTCATAACTTTTCCTTGAAGATCATTGAGTAGCAAAGGAACACTGATCAGCTATCAGTGCCCCGAGACAGCAGAATGATATGCCTCAGGTGTGGAAACACTTCGACTGAAGGTCCTTTTCTTGTCAACACTCTCTCAACGACTCCCATTGTGAAAATGGCAGTCGGAGAGAGGACGAAGTGCTACATCGGTTTCAGCCTGAAACGTTTGTTTATCGTTACCGTACGGAATTTGCGGATCATTTCAAAAATTGACAAAACTTCTGCAACAAACCCGACAGATCCCTCGGCTCTGCATAGTTTGCTAGCCTACCTCCCTTCGCTGCTTTGAAGCATCCCTGACTGCGAGGGCTTCTGCAGCAGCATAGCTGCACTGCACACGATTTGGCTTTGAGTTATCGTCTATTCCCCACCGTAAAATAGGTGCCAGAATTGGCTTCAGAAGAGGGAGCAGGCCGTGAATGCCAGGCTACATGGAATGTCCGCCTTGCTAAAGTTTGTCGCCAAAAGGTAATATCTATATTGCAGATGATGCGCCTTTAGACTCAAGTTCCGAAGATGGTGAGTAAGTAATTTAACTGATAAGGAAGCCCTTGTAATTCTTCTTCATAAACATTCATTTAAGTCTCCCATAGCCTGGCTCCGTGTCCAACTAACTATTTGGATGGAGACGATGGAAAATGTTACAAGGTAGTTATAATAGTGTTTACCCATTTGGCTAATATAAGCCTTTTGCAGGTGTACACCAACCATTCCAACTACGTTGACGCTTCACATCAGTGCCAGCGTGATGGTGGTAAACTTGTTTCAGTTACGAGTGCGAAGGTAGATTTTAACTCCTTTAGTAAGCGTCAGCTTCAAAGACTTGTTGTATTATTTATTGTAGAAAAACGATATGATCGCGAAAATGGCTAGGGATGCAGGTGTTATAGTTTGGCTGGGAATGAAATGTATAAAGCCACATGTAGAATATTGTGCATGGGACGATTCTTCACGTGCTCCTTATGCTTATACCAATTTTTTCCGAGGTGAGTGAGCAAGCAAATTTAGGAAACGTGAGCATAATTAACACAAGATACTACTTGCCCAGATCTCAATCTTAGCTCGTGCTTGCCTTAGTCCAACTATCGTAAGTTGTTGTGTCGGAAAACCTTCACAATCGCTTTGCTAAGTTTTGGCAATTAAGATAGACAACTTCAAAATACGAAATCACGAGTGCAGTGTAAGAGTTGTGTAGCTCTCATTCAAACTAAGACTTTCTGCGCTAAGGCCCGTATGCACTAACATTTTTACGGCGAGGGGAGCGGCGTCCCCCGTTATGAAGGGACCGCGTGCGGACGCCGCTGCGGCTTTCTCATCATTAGGGACGCCGCTCCCCTCGCCGCAGGGATGTTAGTGCATGCGGCCCTAAACCTTAGATTGGTGGCATACACCACCTAAGTGCTGTAAAATAACCATTGAGATTTGACAGTTATTACTTTGATATTTTTGCACCACTATGCGGTTGAGCCCTACAGTACATTAAGCGGTAAAGATTTATGTTCACAATGATTGATTGACAGCATTTTGTTCGCGCAAGACAATGTTACAACCTACGAGGTGATGCCCAACTTTTGATGAAGTTTGAGAGCTGATGAAACTAAAGCTTCCTTTTGCTTCATCTTAGGAGGATTGTGCATAATGAAAGTTTTGTTATACAAGGTGTCTCAAAATAATGTGCACACTGTTTGATTTTGAATAACTCTCTTATCATGAGGTCTTTCGAGAAGCGGTAAGCGCCATTTTGTAGAGCTGGCTTCAACTTAAATTTGCAGTATAGTACGAATCACCGACCGCTCTTCGTTACTGTAGGATTACGGTAGAAACTTGAAAGAGGGTTTTGGACCATGAAAGGCCATATTTTGCCTTAGAAAGGAAACAAAACAGCCTGAAAACTTTTACGCTAGGCCAATTAGAGATACTGATTCTAACTGTAAAGTTCCCTTATTATGATGCTTCACTGAAGAGTTATGCGAGATAAGCATAGCGGCCATTTTCTCAATGTTCCTAAAAAGTGCGGTTACACCGTTTAGAAAGCTTCGCAATCTTGAGAATAGTTGAGTATTGAACTCAGCGTCCCCAAAAACCCTATTACACAAGTTTTCACATTTTTCTGAAAATTTTTGAAACGGCAGCTTTTTCCACAGTTACACCATATGTTCCAAGTTTCTTCCGTAATCCTACAGTAATGAATAGCGGTCGGTGATTCGCTCTATACTGTAAATCTAAGTTGAAGCCAGCTCTACAAAATGGCGCCTACCGCTTCTCGAAAGACCTCATAATAAGAGAGTTATTCAAAATCAAACTGTGTGCACATTATTTTGGGACACCCTGTATTAATTTCATAAAAATGTTATCGCTCCTACTAAGTCTCGATTTACCGTTAAAGCTATGTGAGGCAGAAGTAAAGGTGGTTTGCCGGCAAAGATTGAGGGAGAGTAAATATAAGAATAACCAAATGATGTACAACATATGATTAGAGCAATTCCTGAATCTGTACATGTTTTCTGAATGTTGTACTTTTTGTTAACTCATTTATCAAAAACGGCGCGTATTTTCTGAGAAAGGCCGTATAATGCTATTTTTCTATAGTGATAAAGATCGTGTACAGGAGCTTTCAATCTGAGTGCTACGATTGTCGCTCGCGAGCCGCCTCGCTTGGGTTTCTTGCCGCTTTCGCTCAGCGAATACGATGTTTTCCCATGTTTGAGGCGTGGAGGATATCGTATCCCTAGGTGTCGATGGCTGACTGTGGAATCCTTTGGACACTTTCTCGAACTCGACGATGGCACAAAGGCGGCTTTCGAGAATCCGAGCCTCGTCGATCGTGACACTCAGTTTGAAAGCCCCTCTACTGCTTACTCGTCTTCAGCCAGAAAGCAGGAAACCTTGGCAGCATTGTGGTTTTGAATACTTATCACAATTTAAAGTGCGCATTGGAAATGTTTTGAAAAGGGGATTACCCTAAAATCCCGCCAATAACTCCGGCCTTATCTGCATTTTTTGACACGAAAAATTGATAAAAAATCGCCCTCTGCGCTGCCAGAAGTCTAGCAGATGAATCCTCCCATCAGACCGCAGCAGATCTGCTAGACTTCTGGCAGCGCAGAGAGCAATTTTTTATCAATTTTTCATGTCAAAAAATGCAGATAAGGCCGGACTTATTGGCGGGATTTTAGGGTAGTATGAAAACCTATATTTGAATGTCAATTAGCGATGAACAGCAGTAGCGGACTCAGGGGGGAAGGGCAAGGGGGGCGCCCTCCCTTCTGAGAATGAGCCACGAATTTTCAAAATTTGCTGTTGGTTATAAAAATGTGCAAGTGCCTTGTTTATTTTTGTAAACAATCAAAACAGTTTTTAGAATCTTCAAAAATTTAAATAGCCTTATAAAAATTTTTCGGGTAGCGTCAGCCACGCCTCCTTTTTCCAGATTTTGGAGGTTGGGGACCAGCAAAAATTTTGAGAAACACAACTAAAATTTTTTTCGGACTGTGGGAGTGTTCAAAGACCGAGATTATTTTTTGCTCTACAACATCAAACATTGATGCTCTAAAAGAAATTTAAAGTAGTCGCCAAGCATAGATATTCATAGTAGATGGAACGTAATTATGCAAATTACATCGACAATATATACAAAAAATTATGTCTCTTCAAAAATTCTGGATTAAGGCAACCCAAACAGTATCGGTGAATGTGTCTTGATGATGATTGGTGAAATTGCCAATGGAAAGTGGGTCAGCGCCGACTGTGATTACATAAGAATTGGTTTTGTTTGTCAAGTTACTAGAAAAAGTGAGTCGAAGAGTGCGATTAATTCTATGATAACATTATACTCCACGCTACAGTATTGGAAACTTTAGAGTATTGTGGCGATTATGATGAATATAAGAAAGGTGGCACATGTTACAAAGCGTTCAATCTCCATCTATCTCAAGAAGAAGCGGAGCAGTACTGCCAGCAGGACTGTGGTCATCTCGCCTCTGTACATAATTTTGAAGTACGAACATTCATAGCTGACTATCTTCACGACTGCAGATAGTTTCTAGGAAAATCAATTACTTTATGAAATGGCCAAAAACAATATGAGCTATGCACGCATTGGCCTGAGAACTGTCAATAACGAATTATCATGGGGAGATAACTCTACGTTTGATTACAATAATTTCGGTAAGCTTATGCAACTGTGCTCAAAATTTAGTAGGTGCTGAGAACGTAGTAAAGGGTGACTTCTTTTCGAAACTTGCCCCATTCTCCAGACTTATCTCAAAAGTGTCACTTTTCCATGTAATAAATTATACCTCCATACTTTTTTTTCCATTTCAAAAAAGAACTAGCTTTCATACACAAAGTTTGCAGGTTTTATTCTCATACGTGACAAAAATGAAAGATTAAACATGCCTCGACACCAGAGGTTTTGTCTACTACCTGATCATCAAAATCTGACTTACCGCAACGGCATCGCTAAGTCAGGAACTGTAATTTTCTTCATTAGCCTCAGTTGAGCTCCTGAAACCTCCATAACATTTCCTTTTTATATTTCGATAACTATCACCTGAAACAAATCAGACAAGCCCACCAATCTTTCTATTTGTCATACTAGCGCGCACTTCTTAGCATGCGCAAAAAATCGAAAACCATTTAAGTTCTTTATCTGCCACATTCTACATGCCAAACAACTTGCATTACTAAGTGGATATTAAAAACCAATAACCAAGTTATTATATGCTTTCCAGAGAGGATATGTGCACGATATAGAGCTAATCAATAAGGAGAAAAATTAGAGCGAGATCACTCTATGTAGAAAAAAGTTTACGTGTACCAAGTATATGTATCGTACATTTTCGGATGTGTCGCAGAACTTGCTGAACTTCGTAACTGGCAGGAGCAATCTAAGAAAATTTTTGCACATAAAAATTTGATTCTGGATTGTTTGACTGAAAATAGAATCAAAAAACTTTTACACCTTAGTCTCGCCTCCGTTTCATTCTGACTCATTTAGGTGTCAACAATACAGCACTTGGCGATTGTGTAGCTATGTCACTGAAAAATGAAGTGATACGTGCTACTCAATGGATAAATGTGCCATGCGATCAAGGACTGCCATTCATATGTCAGAGAGGTAAGTAAATACTATAATCTGCCGAAAAAGGCGACCGCTTTCATGATACCTTCTAATCTTGAAACTGTGCTGAATCAAAAGATCTTTCTTAAAACCATATTTGCTAAGTTGATAACAATGGTTTCAGCATTTTTAGACAATAGCGGCAATATACACTTATTGGCGCAAAATTCGTTAGAGTTACTATCTAATCTTACAATAAGGAATTTGTAACTTGATTTACATATTAAACCAAGTTGAAGCCAGCCATACAATACTATACCTAAGCAAAAGCTGCTCAAATAAGAGGATTACTGGAGATCAAACGTTTGATACATTTTTTGACACTATATTCAAATAACGTTACCTTTTAGCTCGAGGAGCGTGTTACAATACTACCTCCACTCTTCCCTCTTCAACAATGGCACCTAATACTTGTGATGAGCCTCAGTACTTTAGCCAAAATGGCACCGTTCGTCATTTTGCTTATTTCAGGAAGGCTTCATAACGTGCAAGTGATTGCAGATCTATTCACCCGGTTTCCCTGACATGTACTATGGAGATAAATCGTGCTACTATATAATGACAGTATCTCTTGGTCAACGCGTGCGTGTCCATTTTCCATACCTCAACCTCCACCCGGATAGCTGCATCAAACTTTATAACTCTGTCATCGATTCGCTACCCTCTGATTCGTAAGTTTTGTAAGCTAAATTTATTATTTTGCTATCAAAAGAGATTTAGTGTAACATTTTTAACTCCACCGACAAAATACTACGAGTCATCCACAAATGTGATGAAGATGATCTTTGTGCCACCACCGAATGCACAACAACAGTGGTACAACGTTGATTATTCAAGCTCGTGGAAAGCGGAATTTTCTTAAAACGTGAACAATTTGCTTTGAAACGCATCCATTTCCCCTATTCTTCTGAGGTATCAAACTATTATTTATTTCTTGATAGTTTATTGATGGTACGAAGATATTTACAGTAGAGTATCCTACGTAAAATATGTATTTGCACAAGGCGGCGCTGAGTGTAATCTGGAGCTGCTTACTCTAGACTTTTCTTTGTCCTTTTTTGATCACAACTATACAGGTGGAAGTGTTCGTTTTGCAGCAAATTTTTCAATCAGTATACGAGCACAGCGAAGCTTGTGATGCTGCTCGGTTTGCAAACTCACATATATGACTATAAATGACTTGACATAATGCGTTGGTGTTGTCAATCTTCTTAGCAGAAAATGAATTATTCAAAAGTGCTGTAATTTGAGAAATAAAAACGATTATGTTCGACGTCTTTTTATGCGGATTCTTTTAGCAAACATAATCAAACACAGATAAAAACTCAAGCTCATGTCCCTTCTTCGTGACCCAGCTGAACGCTGGCGATAGCGAATTATCGATGGGCCGGTCACATCATGAAAAGAACAGACGACAGGTGGACACTAAAAACATCAAGGTGGATTCCTCGCGAAGCAATGTGTCCCGAGGAGGACCACTGACGAGACGGGCGGACGTTCATGAGGATGGACCAGTGAGCTGGGTCGATTTTCGCACCTGAACCTATGGACGCCGCCACCGGCGACGACCAAGGAGGGACAGGGATTACTGAAAACTTCTGAGCTGGGACGGCACGCACGTGAAGAAAAGCCATCTAACAATTACAAGGGACTACCAAAGTCAAAAACGGCTTTCGAAATAAGCTCCAAATAGTCTTTTTTTTTTGCGTTGCTTAGGGTTGCAGATTCAGCATAGCGGGTAAGCCCTGGCAAGAGGGATCTAAATTATAAGATTTTGCTTGAACACTGCTTCTAACGACTTTGTGTACCCTAAGGGGTGCGGCTGAGCGGATTTGAATCTAAAATCTACAGACATGAAGCTGGTCTTTAGCAGTCGCGCAGTATCACTAACATCATGGATGTTTCTCTACTCAAGTCATTTTTCAAGCCACTACTGTACTTCGTACTCACTCAGATTTTTTATGAGGAATTACCATTTTCAGCAAGCATATGCAGGCGCTAGAAACAATTTTGATTAGGGCCTGGGAATGTGGCAGATGTCAAGTTCATATTTGTTTTTGAGGAAAAAAGCAAAAGCATTGCACGCCATCTAACTCATGGCAACATTCCCGGCTTTGAAAAGTCATGATCCAAGTATACAAAACGGAAAACACAACATCTTATCTCGCATTGTCTTGAGCTACCCTTCTTGACACAGCAACATCAAGTTCCTCTCCTCCGAAAAGCTGCAAAGCTTCTTAACGTCGAAGAAAGTTTGTTTTTTACTGGCCAGATTGCCACTCGTCAATCTTATTTTGAGTATTTCATAGGTGAATACTCGTCATGCTTTGAAAGAGAATTAGCGGCTAGAATTTATCTGTTTTTACAGTAGAGCTATGCCAACAACACCGTTGTGAATACATCAGCCAACGCACACCGCACTCTCTTCAGAACATAAACATAATGTGGCGTTTACTGTCACGTTCACATTTCTTCGATTCTACAGCTCATACTTACATACGTCTCTTCAACACATTAGCTTCGTAAGCATTTGCTCACTACTAAGAGACATTTTGAGGGATTTCCAATGCGGATGTGCTTCATCTTGTCATTTTTCGTAATGGTTATCGCTCAAGGTAGGATTATTTTTAAGAACAGATAATACACTATGCATTTATACTGTGAGTGCTCTTTCTGAGTTTTTCTGATATGCTTGTCAAAGCAAATAAAAAATGGTTATTTTGAAGTTCGTCGCCATATGAAAAAGATGGTGACAATAGCGTTGCGGCCGCAATAATGCTGATACCTGCTTGTCATTAGCATCATTGCGCTTGCAAGCTCCGTAATGAATGATTGTCATCTTTGATCTCCATTATACGTCGTATTTTTTATCCGAATATCCTCAGTATTTATGATTTTTATATGTTCACACAAGTTACTCAATTTTTCTTGATGTTTTGTCTAAATCTGTAAGATTATTCAAATGCTTTCAACAGTTCTTATTAGGCTTTTTCGAATCCCTTGCTTTCTCCAATCCAAAAAACCCTAAGTTGTTTTCAATTCGCGATGATCCAGTCTCTCTCCAAATTTTTTCCACTTAGGTTCGCCCAAAATTCAAACACTGTACTTTGTGGTCTCCAAGAAAAACGCAAAAACACCCTGGACAGAATTCAAAATATTTCTTGCATGGGTATCTGCAAGAGCTAGGATATTTCATGTATCATATAGGTTTAAGAATCCATGCTTGTCAGTACATTACTGGGACTTAGGAGAACATTTTCTAATTAAAATCTCGTGTAACACGACATGACTAATAATAGGTCTAATAGCGCAGGTGACTGAGATAAGGTTTTTACTGAAAATACTCTTGTAAGAAAATTTTCGCAATGCTCCCGTCAAGTTAGATTCTTTTGAAGGTTACAGAATAAGTGACTAGTAGGCTAACAAACGCACTACTTAACTTTCATTTAAAATCTTCTTGCTCGCAGAATTCGTTGTCAAAAGTCGATGCTCCATATAAATGTTCTACTGTCAATAACAATCTGTGAATAAAGGCAACTGATGAGGAAGTTATTAGGTAAAAGAGAGAGCTAGCAAAAGCCCAAACGTAACTTTTTAACGCTCGCGACTTCTGTAAAAATTTGAAGATTCGGAAAAAGGTCATAAATGCGTTTACAAAAGCAAGGCTTAAAAAACCACCTTTTTTCGTTTGCTCAAATTTTTAGGTTTAAAAATCGTACGAGCTCTTTTAGTCGTTAAATAACCTCCAAAATTCTCGCTAATCTCTGATGACTACTGTAGCCTACCGGGTGTATGCCCTTTTGAACCGCTTCGCCCTAGCGCTAATTACTCTGCCCTGGAGCGATAATTACTTCGCCTTTCTTAAAATCTATCAGAGTTTTCAGATATTTCTAAGCATTCCAAAGCAGGCGAGGCACACGAATAATGATAGTGACGATGTTTGATTTATGAAGACAAAAAGTTGGAAAAGTTGCATGTTTTTTATTGGCCTTTCGTGATTTCTTCGCCCTTTCCACTTTTCAAAACACCATGAAGTCTGCACTTGTAACTGAAGATTTTACCTAAGCCGCCCACGTATAACATTTTTGAGTTTCACAGGAAACTCGAAATCTTGTTTAATTTTTTTTTATCATGAGAATGCCTTTGCAGTCCAATTCAGATGTCTCTAACGACAGCATAGCTCTCGCCTAACCGAGCGTCGCGACAGCGCCGGCCAATCAGGAGCGCGCAGTAATTAGGCTGCTAATGCTAGCGGTTCAGAAGGGTCGTCTCCCTAGCCTACCAGTTCTTACGAGGGAGCAGCACTGTGTCAAAAGACAGGTTCAAAGACAACATTGCAAAATCTTTGCAATCCTGGTTCTACACAGTAGAGTTTTTTCATTAAGCAAATTATCTATCTGATATCCGAAAGCTTGCTTGGTCAGGAAAAATTAAGATTTTCAAAAAAAGTTGACTTTGAAAGGAGTTATGATGTTTAGAACTTGAAAATGACCTGAACTTGAAAGAACTTGACAGAACGCAGCAGCCTCAGGCACAGCTATAAAAAAAGCCACAATGTTTTCACACAACCTTATTCATTCAACATAGCGTATCGAAATAAGTCATTGTATTAGTTTAACTAAGTTAGTTAATTACACCAAATCATGCTGTAATACAGGTTTGAGTTGCATGAAACACATCTTACTGTGACTCCTAATACAGGTAACATCCCACTGGTCAATGCAAGCTCCAAAGATGGTGAGTAACTGCGATTACGAGTTGAGTCAAGATTATGACGGGTAGCAAAGCTTTTTGGGTGGGATGCTTACATTCACACATTAACACGTTTCGGACCGCGAAATCGCGCGCGGCGAAAAAGAATGTAGTTTCAGCCGTTGGCCTACAAAGGGACCTCATCTCGCAGACTGTGGGCTACATCTGTAATCAGCATGTCAATTAAGCTCCATACTCAAAGTTCTGAATTCGAAGTGTTTGAATTTTGTCGCCTGAGAGGGACTTTTGTGCTTTCTTGAAAGATAGGAGTAAGAAATCAGTTTCAAATAGTATGCAAAAGTATCTCTGTTGTGCACAGTACACATCATTATTGAAATTACGGTTTTGCTCTCTGAAATCGAAGCAAGGAAAAGTTGCGACGTCGCACGCGTCGTTCGCGTCGCCGCACTTCGTTGCAACTGTTGTTCGATTTGTGCTCATATCTCCTAAACAAATATCGGCGGCACAACTCTACAGAGCCATTTGGAAGGTAGAAGCTTAGGCCTTTGACATGATAACCTTGGACTAAAAGAAAACCTCCTGTAAAAAAAAGATCCTTCAAAACAGCGTGCTGCACCATGTGCAGCACCTGTCCGAAACGTGTTAAAAATCTGCTTCTTGAAATCCTTACTTCCAAATGTTATTTGTATCTAATTGCAAACAAATAATATCTTCACCTTGTGAGATAGATGGCGAAGGCTTGGCTCCCTGCCCAAGTGACTATAAAGACGGAGACAATGGACAAAGTTGTTACAAGGTATACTGCAGACCATACGTTATAGCATTCATTGCATTGCGAATTCCAGCTGTACACTAATCGTTCCACATACGAAGATGCTTCAAAACAATGTCAGCGAGATGGTGGCAGAGTTGTGCTGATTGAAGATGAACAGGTCATTTTGTTGATGGGAAGTTGCCATATGAATATTACATTGACTTTAAGAGTTAACTGTTGGATTGGCAACAGGGTGGACAACTCACAAGGGAAGGACACTAAATTAGATTCGCCTTCTGATATGAAACACATATATTTGCATAAGCTTGGAACGCTGATTCCAAATATGCTGCTCCTATCTGCTTAGCGTTGACCTGAAGCGAGTTATGGTATCTTTTCTATGTAAAGTTTGCCTGCTCCTCGACCTACTGATGCTACGGCATAGATGCCTTGGAGGTTCTGCAGTTGTATAATGCTCCCTTTCAAGGTCGAAAGAATTAATCTGATGCTCTTCAACATCCTAGCACTTTTTTCGAGCAGATTCTTATTTGCACGCCGTCTTACGACATTCAGAAGTTTGTTAATTGCTCACAACAGCAAGCCCATGACTCGCTTCGGAATAATGCTAAGCAGCTAGAAACAGCATATTTGAAATCAGCTTTCGAAGCTGATTCCAAACATATGTGTCTCGTCTCAAAAGGCGAATCTAAGTTAGTATCCTTCCCTTGTCAGTTTTGGTAGCAGACATGCCTCCGAAGAATTTGAAAAGCATTCTCCCTTATCGCACGTACGACCACAGTTGCACTACGGCCTGATACCCACAGCAATGGATGGCGACTGCATGCGCACGGAGATTGTCTACCTCATCTCATGCAAAAGTTTCGGCGACTAAAACCAGCGCGCCCTTCATGCGTACGCATCATAAACATCACAACGACAAGGAAAGACAACGCCTATCCACTCCAATGGGCGATCACAGAGTGCAGTAGAACGAACAACCTAAGCGGCTGACGGGATCAGGTAGAAAATCGGTAGTGGCCAAAGCGAAGCTGTTTTATCGATGTCCACTTGCCATCCTCTCCTTTTTGCTCGGCCCTGCTCAGATAATCGCCGGGGACAGGCGACCATGATTCTTGGGCAGGCAACGGAAAACTAGTTCGCTGATTTGAGGTCCGCTTGCGGAAATTCGGAAGAATGTCGGCCAAACTTTAGACGAATGCTCGGAGAACAATCGCGGTTTTTATTTAGATTACTTGCAGCGCAGTGGCCGCAATCTCGCAGGTTTTCCGCGAAAAAATGCAAAATTATTGAGGGCTGCACTGTTCTTTCTGGAAGACCGCACCGTAGATACGTTCCGCTGAGAGGTAATTAATCAATGGCACCTCTGCCATATAGAGTATTACATTTGCTAGACGCATGCCCGAAACTAAACTAACAAGAATCGTAGGCTTTGATTCTTGTGGCGAGAAGCGTAACAAGAATCAAAGGCTTTTGATTCTTGTTGCGCTGGCCAGAACGACTCAGAGCGCTTGCAAAAATTTGCCAGCGCTCGCTGAAAGAAATAATCTGACGACCGCTCGCAGAAAATCCTAGATTGCTGCCCGCTGGCAGAACATGCGACAGTAAAGGAAGCACCGCTCGCTGAAGATATGGCCACGCCCCAGAATTCTGCTAACCGCCAGCCTCCGGCGATTATCTGAGTAGTTGCATATGGCAGCTTGCTTGTGATCTAGAAGAAGGTCACGAAACGTTGCTTATTTATGGGGGCTGAAGAGATGTTTGGTGAAATATATAGACTGTTATCTCATTTGAGGCTTGAAAGAAGAGACATAGCCGAAGCGTTGTTCTAATGAAAATAGTTAGCAATCTTGGGCCTCAACAATCAATTTAATACAATATTCATCATGAGAGATTCAAACAAAGCACTTCTCGATGTCATAAAATGTTTTTAGAGCAACAATTTTATCATGCGAATGGCGAAAGCAGACCTTATGATCTGGATAGGACTGAGATGTACTCAACCGTATGCAAGTGCCTGTTTGTGGTACGGCTCTTTGCGAGCTCCTTATATGTACACAAACTTCTTTCAAGGTAATAGCTACTACAAAGTAACGTTCATACTAAGCCATCCTCGCTTTATGGAAATCGCAGAAAATTTTGATCCTTGCTTTCCATAGTTTAGAGAGGCTCGATAGTTTTGTTATCTCTGATGCGCAAAAACATTGAATTTGAGCACAAACTATCTTTTCGCTCTCAATGTTATTCCTGCTTAGCCCTCTGCACTTCACAGAAGTGTGAAAAATGATGGGGAACAATAAAAGAAATTTCGTTATAAGATCAAGATTATAAACTACGAGAAAGCACACTCAAGTCGGCTGATTTTCTCCTCGCGCCCTTCCCTGCACGCTTCACACTCTCTCTTCATCCTCTCGCTCCTCTCTCCCTCCTTCCCCCCCCCCCTCCTTCACAATAAGTCAACCCTAACTGCATAGAAGCTGCTCCTGTATAGTATGCCACCGGCCAGCTACCCACAACTACCTCCGCGACACACGAGCAGTTTTGAATGGTAGGGATACGACAATTTATCGAACATTGAATGCTCGCCCTACTTTGATTCAACTCAAGTTTGAAGCAAAAGTTTGGAAATTTTGGATACTTGAAAGATTGAGAAGATTTTGCACCTTGTTCAAAAGCCTTACTGATTTTTTACTTGCCTTCATTCACATGTTTATTTATTATTGCTGATGTACAGTCCATGTCAACCGTATGCTTCCTTTTCCACCAGCAAAATCAAAACCAAAGCGCCTCGCGCCGCTTCGCGCGTGTTTAACCTGCGCATTCAGAACAGGGCCCGGCACGCGTTGGTATGGAGCATATTTGGAAACAAAGTCCCCCATGACTTCGTGAAAATTCACGAAGTCCCTTTCGACGTAAAAAACAATAGATAAACTGTTATGCAATCAACATAACAATAAAAAAGAGAAAAAAGCGCATTTTGAGGTGTCTGATATAACAAAAAAGTAAAAAAAGGAACATTCTGAGTTGAATAAAAGCTCTGTCATTGAGTACGGTACCATTCTAGTGCTTAAAATGTCGAAAACTCCCTACGCAAACCAAATCCGTAGCCTCAACAATTTGGCGATGCATTTCTGCCACATACAGGGTGTCCCAAAAAGATGTGCACACTGTTTCATTGTTAATAACTTTCTTGCTTTCATGTCTTTTGCCGAGCTTGAGGTACCATTCTGTAGAGCGAGGATAAACTGAGATTTACAGTATGGAGGGACTTACCAGCCGCTGTTCATTACTGTAGAATTACGGTAGGAATTTCGCGGAGGATTTTCAGCAATGGAAAGCTGTATTTTGCCTCAGAAAAAAGCCAAGTAAGCTAGAAACTCTTGAACTGGGTTAATCATAGTAGCTGATTCTAGATATGAAAACTGCACGTCAGTACAGTGTTTCTTTCATGAGTTAATTCAGATTTAGGGTAACAACTGATTTTCCATTATTCAGCAGAAATGTGAATACGCCATCAAGAAAGCTCGAAAAACTGATGGAAAGTTATGTAGTGAAATCAGAACGCCTGAAAACCTTGCTACACAATTTTTTAGATTTTTTTGAAATTATTTCATCAAAAGGCCTATCCCACAGTGATGCTGTATGCTGAAAGTTCATACCGTAATCCCACAGTAGCAAAAAGAGATTGGAGTTTCGCTTAATACTGTAAATCTAAGTTTATCCTCGCTCTACAAAATGATACTTCAAGCTCGGCAAAAGACATGAAAGCAAGAGAGTTATTAACGATCAAACAGTGTGCACATCTTTTTGGGACACTCTGTAGTTCAAAGGACACCGGATGTGAGTGGAAAGCGAAATCTATTAGAGCCTAGGTTTACGCCACTTTTCGCTTAAAAAAAGGGGAGGCGATGGTTTGATTCGCTCTCTTCACTAGGAAAGATTTTTGAAGGTTCTAATCGTCCAAATCAAAAAGGTCCAAAACTTATGTGAACTTTCCGATATTTATGCTCCGAACCAGCTCAGTTGATTTGGTGTTGGTCTAGAAACCAACAAATTCGGGAACGGGTATCAGGACACATGTTTTTGAAACTTTTTACATAATATAGTTTGGAGTAATATTGTGCACACATAGCCCAAATTTTGTGCCACGTGATTGTTTGCGCCCTGTAAACAAGCCATTTGTATGTTTGAGTCTTCCGTTTGAAATTCGCGCGCCTGCGAAAGAACACGTTCAACTCGTGAAACCTGAAATGTTTGTGTTTTTTCCGCGCTCGCCCAGGATTATAAAAAAGATATCCTCGTCGCTTCTAACCTCAACAAGAAGTATAGTTTGATCCCAGACCATCTATGCCGCGCCCTGATTCAAAACTCGTTTTACAGCGGGATCACTGCGCTAGGCCCTTGCGCTGCAAGCGCGTAACTGCTAGGAGAAAGGGAGCACTTGTTGACATCGACTGGATACTTCATCGCCTATAAAAATGAAAAAAAGCATTTACCATAGCGTTGTTTGGCTTCCATATACAAGATCGTAGGCTACACACCTCTATAAATACAATTATAAATTCTCTGCCTTGATCATAATCTAATTTTTTTCTCGATTTCAGCCTTAGGTATGATGTGATATATACAAGTGAAGGTAAGTGAAAGAAAAATATACCTTCTTTCAAACAAGATTCAACAAAAAAATTTATTTTTTGTTGAATCTTGTTTTTTTATATATTTGAGCATTCAAAACTTGTCAGATGCTGGCTTTAAATGTTGGATTAAAGCCGGTGCAGTTTTCACACCTCATTGTAGAGCTTGCGAGCTTGCTTTGTTTTATTGAAAGGTGTCCTGAAGCCTAATTCTAAGAAATGTATAACTTGTTGCGATAAAAACTCGAAACAAAACTTGAGTAGCGACTAATACGAGAAAATTTGTGCTGTTAAAAGCCCTAAATCGAGGAAATCCGAACGATATTGATGAATGTGTCCTAATGATGATTGGTGCGGTAGCCAATGGAGAGTGGGTTAGTGCTGATTGCGACATGAAAAGTAGCTTCATCTGCCAAGTAACCAGAAAGAGTGAGTTTAGCCACTTAAACTTTTGAACCAATTTTTGAATTCTAGGAAGTGCTAGCATATTCTAGAGCTCTGCGGCGATTACAGTGAATACAAAAAAGGTCGAAAATGTTACAAACAGATGAACCAGAATTTTTCATTGGAAGAAGCTGAACAGCATTGTCAGAAAGATTGTGGGCATCTTGCCTCCATACATAATCTTGAGGTGACCTTTGATGAAGTGAGTTTTGCTACACCATTACCACGACAGCAATTTTAGGAGAACTGGCTCTTCTATCAACTGATGAAAGGCCATAGCTACGCACGCTTGGGTTTGAAGTTTGACAATGACGAGTTTTCGTGGACAGACAAAACAACTTTTGATTACAACAATTTCGGTAGGTTGATGGAAAATGCTTAAGGAATCTTTCAATTCACATGGCTCGGCAAAACTCTTCAACCTGAATTTTTTGCTCTTGGTTGCTTTGGTTTCCTCTGCTTTGGTTTGCGCTTGGCTTCACTGCAATTTTTTGGTACTTGAAGCATGCTGTGCGACTGTATTTGCTCTGTTTTCATATCTAACAAGGAATGCTTGTTTAGTCGAAGTGGCCTTTTTTGATGGGATGTACACCATACTGTAGAGCATAAAATGCTGATTCCAAATCTGCCTTCCGTATCTGCAGAACGTTTATGGACGAGAAGTTATGAGCGTTTTTTGGAGTCAAAAATTGAATGTGTAAGTGTGACAAAAATAACCGTAATACTTTTTCTAGCTCTTCAGCGGAGCAGCGATAATCACCAGAATACTTCACTTGAAAAGTAATATAAAATAAAAATTATACCACACTTGGTTACGTTATTTGAAGGCTGGTAAGATTTTAACAGCTCATTTTATTCAAAATACACATTTGATTTTTGGCTCCAAAAAACGCTCATAACTCCTCGTCTATAAACGTTCTGCAGATAAGGAAGACAGTATTGGAATCAGCGTTTTATGCGCTTTAATATGGCATATATCACATTTGGAAAGGCTACTTCGACTAAACAAGCTTCCCTTGTAAGAGGTAAGCAACTCACACCAAATCCCAAAAAATGTCCAGTTTGCCCAGGCACTGTCTTCAAGGCTAGCGTGAGTTAATTAGTTCGCGTCAAAGAAAATTTTGATACGAAAAAAGAGGGGGGGGGGGGGTAGTGAGAAAGGGTAGAAGGAAGCGGACGTCATCTACCTTTCTTGCCAAACCTCTTTTTTCTTACTCTTTACAAGTCATGCTTATTTCTTCAAAAAATTTTCCTTGTTATTGTCACGTTTATTCTCGCTTCGTCGAAGATTTCAAAATAGAAAAGCTTTTCGCAGTTAGCTCAGTCTCGCAAATGATAACTGAGCCGGTGAAATCCCGTGTAACTAGGGTAGCTTAGGTTGGCGGATAATGTTTGTTACACTTTCCTTGATAATTCTCAAAAATTTCAAAATTTGCGAGAGACCTTGACTTTACTTATGCGCAAGGTTTGGCAAAGTCTAAATCTGTCAAATACGACAGCTCTGTAAACACACTCCAACTTTCATCTTTTTTCATTGATTTTTCTCAAATCCCCTTGTGCTTTTACTTTCCTCTCATTTTATTACGTTTCCCCTTAGCAACACACTGATGCCTCTACTGCTCTAAACGATGAGTGAGTAAATAACTATTAAAATTCAAATCAATCTCAAAAGAAACCTTTTTGCGTGCATCGTCTAGGATTCGGTACGGAAATGAAGAAAATGTCTTGGAACTTTCAAAAAAGTTTCCCCACTTTGATTTTAGGTATCAACAACACAGCATTTGGTCAATGTGTAGCGATGTCTTTGAGGAATACTATAGTTAATAGCACTCGATGGATCAGCGCACCATGCGATCAAGGACTACCATTCGTTTGCGAGAGAGGTTTCAATAAAATACTAGGGGGCATCCCCCTTCTCGCCCGGAACTTATTGTTGGGTTCAAATCATAATAGTGGTCGTACGATGGCTCACCATTCTTCCCTTTACTTTATTATTTTACCTTTTACTGCATTTCTCTTTTTCCTGCTCCTGCTTTGAGTCTAAATTGTAGCACTGCAGTGGTATCCTTTTGGATTTGTCCTCCTTCTTGGCCGTTTCGCTTCATGACACCACTTCTTCTTCACCGCTAGGTGTAAATGTCCTTCACAGGAAATGAATCGACAATGGTTGATATCCTTTTGTTCTCCTAGAATTGAAAAAATCAATATCGATAGAAAGGCCTAGTGAATCGCCGCGGAGAGAAACATTGGGCACATTTTCTTGGGAACACTATTGTATCATACATAGTGTTGGGGCTGATGAGCTGTTGGCGGATCTGCCATCTCTGGAGTGCCTTTTTTATCGATTTTCATGGGTGAAAAAATTTGGCGAATGCTTTTGTATCTACTATCACGCATCTATGCTTGACAACCAGTTTGGAACTTTGCAAGATTTTTTTCGATTTTCGATCTCGATTTTTAAGTGAAAATTTTCGATTTTTGGATTCATGCTCTACATTATGTATTTACAACTAAGCTTTCCGAAAGTCACTTTGTAGGCGTTTGCTTTGCTCTATCGTATAGTGCCTTGAGTCTACTAGGAGAACAAAAACGTTCCTTAATATAAGAAAGCGGTTAAAGCTCGGGACTATCCAATGATTCATTCACCTTCTATGGTAGCTGCATGTTTTCAATGTCCAATGATGCACTTGCAAGTGTCTGAATAAAATTTCTTTTTTAGCAAGAGGTGCATGTTACAATAGAACATCAGTTTCTAAGCTCTCATCTCCAACAATGGCACCTACCACATGTGATGAGACTCTAATTTTTGAGCAAAACGGCACAGTTAGTTGATTCCAATCTTACGAAAAATTCTACAATGTCTTCAAAAATTGATTGCAGATTTACTCGCCTGGTTATCCAAAGTTTTATCGAGTCAGAGCCTTGCTTCTATATTATGACAGTGTCTCCAGGCAAATTTGTCCGGATTCGCTTTCCGCATCTCAACATCCATCCTGATAGCTCAATTAATCTGTACAACACTGTTATCGACACTCTCCCATTTTATCAGTGAGTTTGCATGGCTCAAATGTATCTGTAGTCACATATTCAAGAACATTTCAGGGTATCGTTCCGTACTCCACCGACAATGTATTTTCGATCATCTACGAATGTGCTGAAAATGGTCTTTGTACCACCACCAAACCCAGAGAATAACTGGCGAAATGATTTTCCAAGTGTATGGAGGGCGGAGTTTTCATAAAACGTAAGAGAGGTTTTTAAACCTTAGACCGCCCTCATTTTGTGTTTTATCTTACAGGATGATGTAGCTACCCTAATGTAGCTCAACTCACAAGGGAAGTTTGCTTGGTCAACGTGGCGATTCGGAAGAGGATGTGTACCGATTCATAGAGTTTCGATGGCTGATGTCATATATATTTTCTCATATTTGCGATGCGCTCTTCTCAAAAAAAGTATGAGCATTTTCATTCTAGACAGCACTTCCATAATAAATACAAAAAAGCCCATAATTTCCTATAGGAAAACGCTTCGTAGATATAAAAGCTGTATTTGAGATCAACATTCTATACCATACCGTAAGTATAAATCGCCTTCCGAATCGCCTCGACAAATCGAACTTCCCTTGTTAGCAGAAAAAGAGTTGTTAGAGATGCAAGTTTTCTTATAATCAATTATTTTCAGGAAATTTGCAAGGTAACCTCTGAAAAGACGTTTCGACAATGACATTACTATTTTTGACGGACCAAGCATGTTCCTTTGCACCTCTAAAGATAGTTTTGTTTTGAGTAGCAAATAAAGATGAACTTAGCAACCTATAAGAGAGGAAGTGGTCGACAGATTCGGTACTAATTGTGACTAATTGTGATAATTGTGACGAGACGCAAGCGCTTTTTTAGCAATTTTCATTCTTATGGTTTGCTTTACAAAACGAGCCAGTACTACGAATTTTACAAGAACATGTAATTGGTCATAACGCGAAAACAGCAGTTGATAAATAATGGTTCATAAAGTTGGAACTTCTCCTCTATGAGATCCATTCTTCGTTCCACCATAAAAGAAAATTTTCTGCATTTTTTGAGGATTTTCCACGAGGTATCTTTAAAAATAATATGCTTCTTATCTAACTTTTGGAGTTCTTGAGCATTTGAGCATCTTGAGTACCTGTCTATCGTAGTAGAGATTAAAACCATATATGGAATGAGCATTGCCCTTTACACTAATGACAAATTTTCCATCATCCGGACAACTTAAAGCAATATACGCTCTCTAACGCAAAAATTGTAAGTTCTTATTGTAATCTACAGTACTGAAATGTGGGATTGGTAAATCCTATTCTATTGTTTTTGAAACTAAGTTAAAGCCTCTACAATACTGCACCTGAATAGCCAAAGGTGCTCAGATAAGAGAGCTATCGATGAGCAGTCGTTCTACACATTTCTGGGACGCATTTGAATCGACTGCTACCTTTTTAACTCGAAGAGCGTGCTACAACACTACCTCCGCCTTTCCTTCTTCAACAATGGCACCTATCACTTCTGATGAGCCTCAGTTTTAGCTAAAATGGCACCTTTCGTTACTTCCTCTACTGTAGAAACATTCTTAAGTTCAAAGATTGAATGCAGAGTATATCACCCGGTTTTCCTGGCATGTACTGTGGTGCTGCATTAAGCTCTATAACTCTGATATCGATTCGCTCCCCTCTGATTCGAAGTTTTGAGAGCCCTTCAAAATTCTAAACTGGGAAAGATTCAGAGTGTCATTTCTAACCACACCGACGAAATACTTCCAGTCGTTCACAAATGTGATGAAGATGGTCTTTGTGCCACCACCGAATGCACAAGAACAGTAGTACAAAGTTGATTATTCAAGCGCGCGGAAAGCGGAGTTTTTATAAGACATAATTAATTTACTCTACTCTGTAATCAGCACTCCGCTAATTTCCCATGCACTCTCTCTGCACCCTAATAGGTGATGGACATAACAGGAGCATATTTTCTAGGTTGTAAGTTACACTACATCGTTTATTTTTGAATGTCATGCAAGGCATGTTTGCAGAGCTACGCGCTCAAATACAGTTGACCGTCACTGTACATCTTGATAGCTCACTAAAGATATAAAGCGATGATGTTTACAGTAATTTCGCGAGTGCAAGACGCACCTCGGCCAGCCTAAACTCACCAAATAATTTTTTGTTCAATGACGCCTTGTGCTGCTCCTTACCTAAAACAACTTTGTGGAAGAGCGACCGTTTCGCGAGTCACAGTGGTGCGCCTTGTACTCGCGAAATTAGGGTTAATTTTTTCACAACATAGTCTGAGTATTTGCACAAGGCGTCGCGGAGCCTTTATTTGTTTTTTAAGCTACTGATCCGAGAAGAGCTTTTTTCTCCTCTTTCGAGTTCAGTACACAAACGTATTCGCAACAGTTTGTTGCACTAGATTATAAGCAAGCAGAGATCTGCAGTGCCGCACGCGGTGTGCAATCTCACTTCTGCTATGAATGTGAATTACTTGACATGCTTGTTTTGGTAATGTGTCAAGAAGCGAATAAATTAGTTCAAAACGTATTATCTTAAAGGCAGTGGCTCGGCAAATCTCAGCCTAGTCAAATTTGCGCTTTCCTGGGGGTTTTCAATACGCTGATTTCGAAAATCCACTTTTTAAAGCTTGAAAACGGCGAATATGAGCGTTTTTAATGCCCTTCCCTTTAATATTGGACGAGTGGAGCAAGGCCGATGACGCTAAGACGTGGCAGTTCCCAATGGTTATAGCGTTGCGGCGGGCAGCCTCCAATGGTGAGAAGAAAATTGCCAACTTGTCCAGATGCGTGTAAGATTGGCCTGCGCGTGTAAGTTCGAGAGCGATTGTCTCGTCAGGGAAAGCATGCTGTGCACCGGGATTGCACTGTTTTCATAGTTGGGTGATAAGGAACCTACCGCGTTAAAATCCCGAGTTGTTGGATTTTGCCGATCCACTGTCGAACATCTTGTGCCTTTAAAAGCACACAAGATGTTCGACATTTTTTATGGGTCTATTTAGAGATTTTGCGGCATCGTATTATAGCGTATTGCTAAAGGGTTGAATGTCCTTTAAATGAGGGAAAACAACACGTAAAGTTGTAGGTCAAAAATCAAAGACTTCCAACTTGATAAAGCTGTTTTTAAACCGAATCCTATCCTCGACGTGCTTGCGTCGTAAGAATTCAATGATGAAATAATGGCGAATGCGTGCGCTCACTTGCGTCGCAGTCGCAAAATGAAATAAATGTCGTCTTTGCCAAAAATCAGCAAGACAAGCAGACATAACTGCGAAGTTTATGTGAGATATTTTTGATGGTGGAAAACGTGTCGTGGCAATGAGATTCTGTAGACTTGCAAAGGTCAATAAATATTATGAAGATTTATGTTCGATTGCGAATGTAATGTTAGCGTCAGAAGAAACAAGAAACACAAACCTCAGCCTGAATTCCTTTCCTAAAGTATGCAAGGGAAATAAGAAAGCTAAAGTTTTGTCTACGTCAAGTTTCACAGGACTCTCTAGAGATCTTACAAACAAAGCAAAAATTCGATTAATGCGAAGCCGATAAGATTTGCTTAGACAGTATCGTAATTCTTATACTTGATCACATGTAATTTCGAAAAGACATTTAGATCAAAATGATTGGCTCTCTTGCATCTGACACTTAAATGGTTCTGCAAAGTTGAGATACTCAAGCGCATGGTCAAAAGTGGCAGTGGCATGACGTTGCTCATAACATGTTAAAGTTGCTATCTGTAACCAAAATTGTAGCATTTAAACTTTTGAAGCGCTTTGAACACCTTCTAAGAGTCCAGAGATGAACAGAAGAATGCTCGGCTGTACGACACTTACACACTAAAATCTTATTAATCTATTTATTCATCTATCGCGCAAAGCCTGCCACAATCAGAGAATCAATGGAAACACTTACAGGGGAGGCATGTAAGTCGAAGTGGCCTTTCCAAATATATGCATACGATATGAAATAGCATAAAACGCTAATTATACACCTGCCTTCTTTATCTGCGGAACGTTTGTGGAATAAGTGTTAGAGCACTTAATGGAAAATTAAAAATCATCTACGATAAAATAAGTTGCTAAAATCTTACTAGCCCTCAGATAAAGCAACCAGGTGTATTATATTTCATCTTACAATTAGAGTATTCAAATGAAGTGCTCTAACAGCTCACTGCTCCATCAAAGCGCTAAAACAATATCACGACTGTTTCTGTCCTACTTGCAATTGGATTTTGGGCTCGAATAAACGCTCGTAACCCTCGTGAAAGTTCCCGCAGACCAGGAAGGCAAATTAGGAATCAGCGTCTTATGCCCTCCGATAAGTTATACATCCGATCCAAGGCCACCAATCGAAGTTGCTGCAGATTGCACAGTGCAAAAAGTGAACAAGCTCAATAAGCTATTCCCAACGAAGGAAGTGGTGAACCGGACCCAAACTAACGTGTGGACTAAGTACAAGTATGCTAAAACGCCAAAAGTCAGACGGCGCCGCTGTGAAAAGAATTTCAGTAAAGTCTGATCATTTATAAAAAGAGCTAGCAAAAAGCGTATAACTTCACACTCTCTCAATGCAAAAATCAATAGTTGCTAGCTTTCAGCTTCTTCTCTTCTCTGAGAATGTGGAAGCAAATCGCAAGTTCCAGGAGTACAGGGATGTTCTGAGTCTTCATAAAAATTAGCGAGGCGGGTGGAGGGACCGTAGATTCGCCCGCAGGAACGATTACTTTTGGACTGGAGCAGGAATTGTGTTTAGAGCGCTCAGCGCTCTCTCGTTCTGCTACGTGCAGTTATGAATTTGACGGAACTCCTTTTTCCAGTACCAGTTTAGTCTATGTTAGCTCTTTACACGTGTTCTTGTATGACCAAGAGGTTTAGGTTCATCTTGTAGATCTGAAGTTTTAGAGTTTCTCAAGCGAGGTGTAGTGCATCAGAGTTATTGTAATTATGTATTGTATTGTATTGTCTTTATTGTATTTTATTGTATTGTCTTTATTGTCAAGTTTACTAGAGGAGGAAAGAGCAACTGGCTAGAGGCCACTGTCAATAGTAGTCTACAGCAAACCAGCCCCGGTCAACATTTTGACCCAGTTGCATCTTGAAGGCACCGTCCACCCAAAATGGAGGTTGGCGAGATTATGATGGCATACTAGTGTGGGCCCTCATACTAGATAAACCTCCAAGCTTCGCCGCAAAAGACTGCTTCTGAAGCGAGAAATCCGCTCCGGAAGTAACAAAGTGGGCGGGGCGCCCCCGGCGATCCACCCAACTCGAATTCAATGTTTTTGTCGCCTTTCGAAAGCATGCAAGTAGGCGGGGCGACCGGGGGCGCCCCGCCCACTTTTGTTACTTCCAGAGCGGAGTTCTCGCTTCAGAAGCAGTCTTTTGCGGCGAAACTTGGGGGTTTGTCTAGTAGGGGCCCACACTAGTATGCCATCGTAATCTCGCCAACCTCCATTTTGGGTGGACGGTGCCTTTGATGGTTCCGTCTCATCCGGTTTTCATATAAAAAGGCGGTGACGAGGTTGCATACACTGTGGTGTCTCGCTGTATCTTGTTTGTAGAACCTCTTTAATATAGCAGGTGAAAGTTAGACTTAGTTCTTTTGCGCACTGTATCTTGTTTTCGCCGTAGCCCGATGTTATGGCAGGAATTAGCTTATGTTGCTAGGGGTAAGGTGAAGCAGCTAACCTTTTACTTTCGTTATTTGCAATGGTTATGGTTAACGATAATATATAGCGATAGTAGTAGTTTGCTGCTGGTTTCTCCTCCTTTCACGCTATCGCTAACTGCTTCCGGTATAAAAAGCTAAAAATCGAGTTTCAGCAAAGTCTGATTGCCACTTTTCCGGTTCGATGTGTTAGATTGGCTCTTTATTTATAAAGCTTTTGCTAGCTTTGTTTATACTAAGTGCATTGAACTGTTGTACATTTACTTCTATGTTCTTCACGCCCTACTAGCTGTATTGCTGCACTTTGCGGAAGTATGCAAATTCCGCTTGCGTGATCTTCGTTTGTGGTTATGTGTTCCAATTATCCTAAGATACGACGGTCAAGCCTGAGATGCACGCAGTTCCATAGGCAAGCAAAGGTTTGAGCAAGCAAACATTTGCTTGCCAAACTGTATGCAACTTCAGGCTATCGCTTTTAGGCCCAAGACAGAGTTCACGCGATTTGGTCGTCGCGATTGAATCGCGGCAAGACAACTGTTACGAGTTCATTGCATCCCGACCAGCTTGCATTTCGGTTGTGATACTTTTCCAAACCGAAATTTTTGAATGTGAAACATGAAAATGAATGGAAATCGCGGCGATTGAATCGCGACGACCAAATCGCGTGAACTCTGTCTTGGGCCTTACACTCAAGATCGTTCTCGTTTACTACTTGGCTCGCTATCAACGTCTAGTCACGCGTAGTCATTCTCTCGACGTACTAGATCTATCTTTTTTCATCCACTCGCGTAGACAACAATCACAGAATGTTGTCACTTTGCCGGAAACAATCGACTTGGGCAGCATCACCGATGATGGCAGGGATAATCTATTGCAGGAAAACAAAGAAAATAATGGCCCGTATGAAGATGTATTGCATCACGACAGCGCGAAAGAAGCGTTTTAACTGGTAGAAGGGGTAAGCTTGGTTGCCCAGACACATCTGTAGCATAAAGTTTTCCAATCACAGGCCCAAGCCCAGCTGGCCGAAATTTCACGTATTATGCTTAAGAATAACGACGTAGGCGCGCTCAGAGATCTCCACAAGGGCATACAAAGTTTGATTGCCACAGCCTCCATCCTTCAGCCCTTCGTCAGAAGAATTCCGATTCAGACAACCGGACTTGGGCCAAAACCTCCCCGCATTCAACCATTTAAACCGTAAGTTATTTAAGCCTCGGAGTTAACCCGTACTAACTTTTTTGCTTCAGAGAAACGCCCTGAATGCAGAGAAGAGAAGAAGAAAAATGAAAGAAAAATGGCGACACGAAGAGGTGGAAAAGTCTAATAATCTTCCTGCTTCAGATTCCTATTGATTTCCATACAGATTTTTGAAAATTCTCTACGTTTTCTGTTGTTATTGTTGTTGATCTAGCTTTATCTATTTCTTATCTCAGCTCACATCGATTCGTGAGTTTTTTTTCATCTTTGCCACCGAATCTCTCTTAGAAAATCGCATTTGTCATTCGTTTTAAGTCATATGGGTTGACGAGATTTAGAATATTTTCAATGTCACGCTCACTTAAATTTTGCACCTATTCCAAATTCTAATACCGAGACCCACTGCAATTGTATTTGCGCAGACTTCATACATAGCAGCTTTTTGTAGCAATTGGTCTCTAATTTTTAACATCAACACCTCAAGTCTATCAGATCTTCACTGGTGCCTGTACGGTTTCAAATTTTTGCAGATTTTTATTCGTTGCGTAAGCACGTCAAATCGATCCTTGAGAAGTATCTGCGTCTTTGCCAATAAATATTTGCTTATATCATTGTTCCTCATTCCTTCCCAAGCATGTGTGCGTTTCAAAGCTACAGGCCCGGCTTGGCGGTCTTGATCGGGTACCGGTCAGGATTCACGGTTTTTCGCGAAGACACGCCGCAACACGACGTCAAGCAGTACAAGCCTCAGCTCCTAGAGTTGCAAGACGCAACATTAAGTTATTTGGCAAGTGCATCCTCAAAATCAGCGTTGGAAGGATAAGGTGCTCTACGGAGGATTCCTGCTCCAATCCAAAAGTAATCGTTCCTGCGGGCAAATCTAGGTACCGCCCGCAGGAACGATTACTTGCGATTGAGCGCTATAAACACAATTCCTGCTCCAATCCAAAAGTAATCGTTCCGCGGGCGAATCTACGGTCCCTCGAGGCGTGTGGGCATCGTCATTAGGGAGACAAGTTTTAGGCGATGCGCGTCTTCTTAGGAAACTTGTGAATTGTTGCACCTTTTCAGTTTCTTTAATGTCTTTTTCGGATTGGCGACAGTACTGTTAGCAGTACTCCAAATGTGGAATCACAAACGCCTTGTAGAGTGAATCGAAACATTTACTGAGGTAATGCTTGAGTTGAGGAATAGTAACAAAAGGGGAACAGTAAGCTTTGGGAATTGCCATATCAATGTCTCAAAATGAGAGAGCTTCTATCAAGACACTAAGACATCAAGACACATCCATAATAGTCACATCATACATCTTTGAATTGTGCTTGTTGAGACAATAGGATGTCACGGGCATTATCCCGAGACGAGGGACAGGAATTTTAGTTAGAATAATGGTCTTATACATTTTCTCATCAAGATAGTGAAGTATGCTTTGGCGGATTCTTTTCATAGGCTCGTAAATGTGCGCTACCATCAGCAGCTATCATGCTAATATTTCAACTCTCTCAGTAAAATCCCTAGCGTGCTCTTATAAGCTAAGCAGTGCTTCTCATTTTTTTTGTTTTTCCAATATAATTTGTTCGAGTATTGCATCAAAGCCAGTTGAACCTTATAGCTCCGACTCTAAGTGGTCATTTGTTCAGTGTCTTTTCATTTTGCGACATCCAAACTAATAAAGTTCTAAAAATACAGGAAGATGATAGCTTGGGCAATGCTTTGAAAAAAAAAGCAGAGGAGATGTTTGCGCGATTCGTCGCATCAGACTCAGCTCTAAGGCCTCGGGCATACCTCACGCCATTTCGGTCGCGACGCGATTTGGCAATGCTCCAAATGTTCATAACTCATCGTACGAGGTTTCTGAATGTACGGAATATGCAGCATTTCATCAACCTACGAAAGTTATACATGCTGTGCATTTGGGGTCTAACAGTATTGAATTTGAAGACATCTGGCAAATTTCCAGATCGCGTGGCGACTGAAATCGCATGAGGTATGCCCCTTGCCTAACAGAAAAAGCGTCTTTTGTTCAAAGAAAAGCAAAATTACAATTGCTATCATCATTTTTACTATGCTTTCGAATCAGAAACCTGACCTTACGAATAAGTGGAGACATCTGAAAGGAGGTGAAATTTTGTTTCAAGAAGATTGGTTTTTTAAATGTCCAGCTGCACTCCAAACAGGATTTATTTCATGGCACTTTTGCAGCAGATCTGGTCACAAATCATGTATGTCTGCACTATGCTCTGCAATCGCCTCATCTCTGACTCATCAGCCACAGCAAAAGCTCAACATCGCCTCTACAAAGCACAAATCTCGAAACGATCTTGGTCAACCTTACATTCCTTTGTTCCTTGTACATAGGCTGTGTTTTCAAAAGGTTAATTTTGCAAGTATTGCTCCCGAAAGTAAATGACATCTTCAGAAATTTCGATGAGAAACTTCATCTTACCGCTTTTCGTGATAGTGGTCTGCCAAGAGTACCCGTACGTACCACAAACCGGTAATCGATCTCTTTACAGCATGCTTCAATGTTTTCTATAAGTAAGGAAAGCTATTGATTTTTTTTCAAGTTTATCAAACACAGAGTTGATTACGCAAACATCTTATTAGGTTGGAAACTAAGTTTTGCAACTCATTCAATAACTTTCCTTTCACTCATCATGGCGCACTCAAATTTTGCCTCTGTGTTGGCTATGACCTAAGCTATAAGCACAGCTGCTGTTCTACCAATTCTGACGTCGCAGCGAGTGTTATAGGTATATGGTATGAAGGGAAAAATTATAAAATTGAACAGATTTGGCTAGAACTTGGCACAGGGGGTTATCTAACATGCTGATCACGAAAACGATACTGAAGTTGCATACCAAGGGTTTTTTTTTTGAGATTACTGTAAGTGTACGATATGGGGTCTCCTAAACAAGGAAAGGGGCGTTTTTTCAACAAATGAAAATGATATTTGCGTTTAGCAGATCAAAAAACCTCAATATGTAAAGGCTCGGGGAATTTGGTGGTTCTGACTCCTTAGTCATTGACGGTTGTACGCAACAGCGTTACGTACAGCGACTTGTTCGAATTTGTGAGGACGTCAATTCTCGACTTGCCCCTAAATTTCATTTCATTCTTGGTGAGCCGAATGAGTCAACCTCCGGCAACAATTTACACACGACTCCGGATTATTGCGCATGGTCTAGGCTGCTAACGGCTTCATTTTGGCTTATAACCCCAAAAGTTTTAAAAATTCACTAGTTTTCGAAAAATGCTTGGAATTTTTCTAATTCGTTTTCAAAATTCAAACAGTTCAGGGCAGTTGTAGGCCACATTACGCTCTACATATTGCCAAAGGTTGAGTGCGCCACATTCAAAGAGAGTTGAGTTATGAAAGTAGTTGCATACTTAGTTTTCAGCCTAATATTTCGATTCAAGTGTTCTTAGCCCCATCATCAATAAGCGTGGCTGGAAAGGGGGCACTAAAAAACGACAAGCCCTCTTCAACAAATACTTTCGAATTAAGCTTACGCCTTACGTTACGCAGAGGATGATCAACATAAGTCAAAAAACAAATTAGTTGAAATATTTTTGTATTTAAACCGTTCTTTGAACGCGATTGAAAAAAAAGTGGAATGCGTCCCGATATTCTAGATCGTTTTCCAATGCTTATATAAATTGTGCTAGTTATTTCCTATGGCTCTGCAATCATCCTACATATCTGCGGACAGCGAAGCCAATTGGCTCTGTAAGAGCTAATGATATATAATGATGCTATATATACATATACATATATATATTTCTTGTGGTATTCTTGATGATTTTGAATTGATGTACTTGCTCATCTTATAAGAAACATGATCTAATTCGCTTTGATTGCATAAAAAAGGGGACGTTTTTAGTTGTGCCAACAATTTTCAGCCACTCTGTGTGATCTTTTCTTACTATATCAAGTTAGATAATTGATGTTCAACTAATTACTGCAACTACACTTGGTGATGCCCGACTTAGCGGGTGAATCTTGCTTAGCTGCATGAGATGTTGTCGAAAACATTGAAGTTTAAATTCAAAAAAACCTCACCGAATGCGAGCCATTACCTCGCATTCCCTTTGATTCAACTGGATTGGCGGCTGGATGGGGCTTCGAAGGCTAGAGAATGATGAGAGAGCACGCTAGCGAGGAAGACTTAGACTGCAACGCGAGCACGAGCGTTCTCCTTCCAGCCGTCAGTCGTGTTGAAGCAAAGGTTAGTTTCCCTTGACAACGTTTTTTCGGGAAGAAGTCTTACATGATAAAAGACTTTGGAATCGGATCTCACAGCGAATCGAAGGTTGCAGTCAATTTGAGCACTATATAGCAGTCTTGCTAATTTGCATAACAAAGGCAACAGGGTCATAACATGTGTAACACCTTTGTTACAGGCGAAGGCACATTAGACAGTTCGAACACCGAAAATGGTGAGTGACAACGTTATGAAGATATTTTATTCATATAGGCATTCGGATTTTACAAAGTGCATTCATAAAAAGCTTGTTGAAGCTTTATTAAGTTAACCCTCGTGATGTTGATGAGATATTTTAGATAATGAAAGCTTAGCTCCTTGTCCAAGCGACTACACTGACGGAGACGACGGACAATGTTACAAGGTGATTATGGACTATGCACGCATTGCCATTCATCATATTATTATTTAGTTGTACGCCAAAAATTCCAACTATGCAGACGCTTTAGACCAATGTCAGCAGGATGGTAGCAATCTCGTGTCAATTTACGACAATGAGGTCGATTTGTTGATAACAAGTATTGAGCATTAGAAATAGTGTTTAGAAAAATAATTTCATCGTGCAAATGGCCAAGAACGCAGAACTCATAGTTTGGATAGGGTTGAAGTGCACTCCACATCTTTACTGTGTATGGGAGGACGATCAGCAAAATTCCCTTCGCTACACTAACTTTTTTCAAGGTAATTTTGGCTATAAATTCATGTATATCAACAGGCTGCTGCTTCATTTTCACATTTTGACAAAAAACAAACCTTTTGCCGCGTAAATTCTATTACCTGCTGTTCAGAATTATCATTATTCACAGAACCGGGATAACTTGCCAAACGATTGAACTTTCTCGGTTCAACGCTCGCGGGCTTCCCTTTGAGCGGCAGTTTACCTCGAGGTGAAAGAGATCAAAGGCAAGACCAAACCTATAAGCTTCTGCGTAACGTGCTCACTGAAGGTCTTGGTGCAGAAGAAACATCATCGTGCTACAGAAGATCTTCATGTTCTCTAACGACATCTTTAGATAAGAAGAAGCGAGTCGCCGAGAAATTGAAAGGGAGTTTACAAACATATCGCCTCTCTTTTGTCGCTTCCCTTCTCTCATCAACAAAGCTTTTACGTGCTTTCCACTACCCATAGCAGTAAAAAAAAAGCTTTCTCGTACTTGGAAACTTAATTCAAGGGTAAATGTTCTTGACTGTTCATCAATTGCAACAGTGACTAAAGCCACTCGACTGCAATAGAGTTGGGCACGATATTACCTCCGAGCAAATTTGCGAAGTTTCCTCCGACGCGACGTTTTCGTAATGCCTTATTCATGTATTGTTTTCAACACTCAAATGTATACTTCTTGAAGTGAAAAAAGAGAAAAGAGGGAAGCAGCGAAATTCCGAGAACAGTAGATTCCATGTTAGTCACTGCGTAGCAGAGCAAAGCGAAATTTGAGATATTTCGAGCATCAATAAGCAGTGCTCAGGCATAGATATACTTATGTTGAAAGACTTCAACAAAGTGTTAGAAAATTGGAATATGCGATAGGACGTTTTTTTGTGCCAATCCACTTGGCATGGGTCATCCAGGTTGGAAGATTTATACCCCTCCCTCACGTGAATATTTCGTAATCCTACAGAGGGTTTTTATAACTATCAGCCTTTGCAGTCTCCCTCGTAGCAAAGAGCAGGGAACGAAGTTTTTCGCATTCGGCTACAAGAGTTAGAGCTTGTGCTGGATAATAGGTTGTGAATAATTTGTAAAAGATTCAGAAATTGAGTGAGCCAAAAGAAGACTGTCTTTGGCTTTAGTGTCATCCAGATTACGGTTAGTTGGCAGGATATCATCTGAATTAAAAAAAAGGTCGCTACGACTTTCCTCCACCTAAGTTTTTCATGATTCCGTGCATCGCTCCTTACTATTATGTGTGTGCACAACGAATTGTTCCTATGTCATTGGCTGCTCGGTGCAGACAAACATATTTTTATTGGGGCCACAACTGTGATTTCTGGCTCTGTGCGACATAGCGTAAAGTAATGAACGTCGTGAAAAGTATTGATTTTAAGATCAGGGTCGGTAGTAACGGTGTAGTTTTAATAAGCAAAACTTTGAGTTTCACAACTCAACCTGGAGTTATCTCTGAGTTAACGTGGAGCAGGATCACTACCGAACGGGGCGGGGTTTGCCAGTATACCCGCCACCCGAACTTCCGGTTTGCTTTTATGAATTATATAAAGATCGTTCCTTGCTGGCAAACGAGGGGGCATGGGTACTTCTCCATAGAGTCTATGCTAGCACAAGATAACGTGCAGCCGATGCAAGCTTATCATCACATTATTGCTACAATACTTTTCTTAGTAAGTCGTTTAGACTGGGCTTAGGACGACGTGGTGATTTGTTATTTGTTGCTGTTGTGTTCCATGTATGACTAACACTTTATTGTTTTTGATTTGGAACGCCTCGAGCGTATGAATGAAATGAAATGAAAATGAATCACATAAAGTCACCACCCCGCAAAGGATACTCACTTCAGAGATGACGAGTTTCTGCTGGAGGCCATCCGATAGTGAGTGAAGTTTGACAAAAAATTCGCCATCCGATAGTGAGTGAAGTTTGACAAAAAATTCGCCTTCTAATGAGTATCTCTTGTTGGTCTAACATGCACATTTTGCTTTCTCTGATCTCTACGACTGATTTCGGAGCGAGAAGAGGTGCTTGAAGGGATTCATCATAAATTGTTCTTCGGCTCTTCCAGGCTCCGACGAAGGCGTAAATGCCCAAACGTCAGCCCACTAAAATCGATACCATCTTTGTCCAAGCCATAAAACGATCAACACTTATATCACGATTGTTCTTAGTATGCCTGTATACGCACTCGTGCGAGAATAGACCACCAGCTTTACACTGGTTGGCCATCCAATAAAAAAATGTTGCAAGAGACGGAATAACCTAATAATGCAGAAGACAATTGAGGAAATCCAAACAGTATCGGTGAATGCGTTCTAATGATGATTGGAGGAGCAGCTGATGGGAAATGGGTTAGTGCTAATTGCGAATACATGAGGATCGGATTCATCTGCCAAGTAGCTAGAAAAAGTGAGTTTCTGAGCTGCCTCATATGAAATAAGTCAAACTACAGTAATGAAATTCAGAGCTCTGCGGCGACTACACCGAGTACAAAGAAGGTCGTAAATGCTACAAGTACATCAGTCGCAATTTAACACTGGAAGAAGCGGAACAGCATTGTCAGTTGGACTGTGGGCATCTTGCCTCCGTACATAACATCGAGGTCATATCTAATAGAAGGTGCTTCCAGACAAGGACAATATACTAAGACACTTTTCTCCAGGAAAATAGCTTCGTCTATCATATGCTCAAAGACAAGGCACATTACGCATATCTGGGCCTGACGGTTGCAAATGACGAGTTTTTATGGATGGACAATACGACTTTTGATTACCATAACTTTGGTAACTGCTTCATGGTTCATTGAAAACGGGGACTTTTCTGATGTGCAGGGTTAAGGGTGTATGTAGAGAGAAATGTTCAAAAGGGGGTAAGATAGACAGAGTTTGCTGAGGAAGGGCAAGAAGAGTTAAAGCAAAGTAATCGAGTGTTTTGTACGAGATATAGTGTGGACCCCGGCCAGCTTCCCATAGGTACCTGCGCGACGCACCCGCAACGCACGCCTTCAGTGCGCCTCCTGTCCTAGCTTCTGATGGAAATCTTCCTTTCTCTCTTTTTTTTCGTTTTTGGTGTACTATATTCCCTCTATTTCAGGTATAAACAATTCGCAATGACCGGTGACGAGATTTCACGTGCTCTAATAGTTCTAAGACCTTCAGTCTTGTGTAGTAGTCTTACGTTTTCCCTTTTTTCTCTGAAAAATTGAGATCTGATTGGATATTAAGGTAATATTCCTTCAAAAGCTTGTTGTATAAAATAAGAGTTTCTTTCCGTTTGATGTGTAAGGTGTAGACAGTGTCTCAAGTCAAAATTGAGCCTTCCGAGAAGCCAATAGGCATTTGTTTACTGAAATGTCCACTTTTTTTGAGATTTTTAACCACTCTAGTTTCTACATCTACGAAGAGAAATGTTTTAAGAATGTTGTTGTTCTTTGATTTCTTCCCGTATACTTATCACAACCTATCCATTAGTGCAAGTTCGGAATATGCATCCATTGATTGAATTTGAGGTACTCATGGAGGCTGCCTGCGTTTTGTTCTTGCATACGTCTCTTTCGAGGTGAACCTAGGGGTTTCCACTTTACATTTTTCTCCTTTGTGAGCATAAATATGCTCTACTGCTCATAAGTGAGTCGAGAAGCATTAAGAAGTGCGCGCGCTGCATGCGCGCAGCGGAAGTACCTATGGGAACCTGGCCGGGGCCCACACTATAACAAAACAAGATAGAAAATCTACAAAAGCGAGGTTGCGTGCAAATGCATTCAGAGGACGTTCCTCTTCTAGCAATCAAAACTACTAGATACAAGAAGTTTGTAGTTCCCGCTAAAACTTCTTTCCAAGGTCAATTCATCCGTTTTAGTGCATCACAAAGATTAAAAACTGTACATTATTCCAGTAACAAAGCATGAACCTTCCTATAGCTAGGTTTGTATTCGATAAAAATCTGCGTCTTCGTGCTTTAATTTTCACCATTCTTCTTTATCGACGAAAGGCAATGTTAGCTTGTTTTGCTAACAATAAGTAATACATGAGGAAAACTAGACCTGCATTTCTAAATAAAGAATCTCCATCAGGCTAATCTGGACGCTGCGTTTATGCAATTCCTTAATTGGTGGAGATTATTTATTTAGACCCAACAAGCGGTACCTACAATAAAGTTCATGTTTGTTTGCCGTAGGGTTACTGCCTCTGGAAGCTCATGAGTCGCTTCACAGGTGAGAAAATTCAATGCCGTTCACGATGAGGTTAGATAGAGGAACCGGCGGTCTTATCGCTATGTGACAAAAACAGTTATCTGAGGAAAACATTTATTGAAAGTTTTAGTAGCCCTTTCGTATTTACGTTTAGACTGCCAACAGAAGCTGGTCTCATAGTTTTTTAATGAAATGTCTCGAGTTTCCAGGTGTTAACAATACAGCCCTTGGTCAGTGTGTGGCTATGTGTCTGAAGAAAGAAATTGTTGATGCCGCTGAATGGATTAGTGCACCATGCGATCACGGTCTACCTTTCGTTTGTCAGCGAGGTTTGCAGGAAACTCCTTAGCGATGACATGTCATTTCCTTTTTAAATTCCAAAACACTTCGTAACGTTGCTCCTCAAAGCTGACAGAGAGAGGGAGCAATTATGCTGGAAAAAGCACGAGCTTGACAGAAACGATTAACAATAACAACAGAAAGAAGTCCTTACCCCTCACAAAAAGTTTGCTACTCAGCAAACTTCCAGGATCGCAATTTTTTGCCGAAACTTTGCTTAGAGGATGTATGACCCGCTGACGCGAATGTCGCATTGATATCGCAAATATAGCCTGATTTTACTGTAGGTGTACATTAGATGGATCAAAATTGTGCAGATGGATAACTTTAATCTGTAAAAGCTGGTGACGATAATATATAGGCATCTTGCAACCTATATCCCGCCCAGATATTAGGTTTGCAACTGAGTTTTGCAACTTCCCCGTAGCTTTCCTCTTTTTTTTGGCACTACATAGATTGTGACATATGCTACGGAAATGCTCATACTTGCTCTTGCTCTTTCGGAAGCCAAGCTAGTTGAGTACCTTTTTTTAAGCTACGAAACTCAGAATTTAACGAGGCTTTGCGCGGGGGGGGGGGATGATCGACATGCTGAACACGGATATCATACGCACTTGTTCTATGATAGATGAATCATATCTCTTGACCTCTTCAATGCAAAATGGATAACATTTTTGTAATTAGCTTGTTAAAAAACCTCTTTAGACAAAGGTTCAGCAAGATCTGTAGCCAACCTGCCGCAAGAATGTGACGGCGAAATTCGGCATGTGTGGCGGCATCTTACATCATAATTTTCATAATATCAACGAATGAATGCGCCATTTCAAGAAGATCAAAGTTATACCATTTGATTTGAGTGGCTTAGCTCTATATGGCGAAGCTTCGTGACCTAATGAGGCTACGTAACAATCATAGAGCAATGGCGGGAAAGAGACGCAGGTGCGTCACGGACGCAAACGGCCCCAATTAGGTCACAAAGCCCCGCCTTCCAGAAGCCAAGCCAGTTGAATGCTAGGGCACCGTCTAAACAAGGAGAGCAGAGATGGCCAAAGAAGCTATCGTCATTGGCACGCATATAAGCCTTCGGAAAAGCTACGTCGGTTACAAAGGTTGCTTAATTGCCAAGCTAATAAAAATTTTTGCAAAACCTTTACAGTCTTTTGGACAGTTAGCAGAAAAAAACCCCTAAATGGGTCTTATCGACGATCAATATCTCTGCAGATTGTAAGAGCCAGTGATAAAAATAGAACAAATCGTGCATTATCGTAATGCACATCTTTTGAATTCGCTTTCACCTCGTAAGTGAACAGTTATTCACGAAAACAATAAACAACCTCTAAGGTAGTAAGCCTTCAAGTTGCTCAAATCGTCGACAATTTCAAATAACTATATCAGTAAATAACGAATATTCAAATAAATCCAAATATCTGATTTTTCTTTGAATGAAACTGATTTACTAAATCGGGCACATAACTGAAGACTATGTGTTGAATCGTGTACAAATGAGTATTTTGATTGGAATATAATATTTAAGGGCAGAGATGGTCGTTTGGTGCACTTGTTTCTAACTAAAAAGGTCGCGGATACGCTTCCGCGACTAATTTCTTTGGCAAAGCTCTTGTTCATGAGTACAGCGTCAGACTGCTCGTTCAGTGGAAGCACGCGTCAAGCAGGTTGAAGGAGATCCCCGTCGCATCACAATGCTCTTTAATGTTCCAAGAAATCTTCGAATTAAAGCTAGGGAGTTTCTCCGGAGGCGTTGAGCAAAGCCTGACGAATGCGAGCAGTATGCTAGGGCACCGTCTAAACAAGGAGAGCAGAGATGGCCAAAGAAGCTATCGTCATTGACACGCATATAAGCCTTCGGAAAAGCTACGTCTACACTCAACGTTGGATCTCTCCAAGCTCGACACCGGGAAGTAGATCTTCTCAAAAGACGCAAAGTAGACATCGCTTGCCTTCAGGAAACCTAATGGAAAGGAGAAAAGGTACGAGACATCGGCGACGGCTTCAAGCTTTCGTACAAGGAAGCGAGCAGTAGCAGAAATGGTGTCAAGATCGTGGTTTCCGAAACGCTGAGATAAATGGTGTGGATCAGATAAACGGTTTCATGGAAATAAGAGTAGATATTGAAAAGTAGAGGTTTTGATTGATAACGGCATATGCTTCACAAAGATTGCGCAAAAGCTGCGAAAGAGGAGTTCTTCCAAAAGCTCGATAACTACATTAGCGCAATACCACAAGAAGATGCTGAATGGGACATATCTCAACGAGTAAGAGAGCAACAAAGTAGCTTTCGTAAAGCCACGGAAATCACGGATAGGGCATGCGAACTAAGGCGTAACGTCGAAGGGAAGCGTAATCTGGAGGATTTTGCAACGGCTCATGACTTTGCATTGCAAACTAAGTGGATGAGTTCCTGGAAGATGCGTCAGGATGTGCTTCAACGCGAGGGACAGCAAAGTCATTCCAAGCGAAGGCTGCCTACCACAAAATAGGCCGCTGCATTTAGAGTCGACATCCCATCGACAAAAGAAGAAAAGCGATGGCGAATGGTAGGGAGCGCAACAGATGGTGGAGGCTCAACGACACCCTTCAAGCCAAAGCAGCAATGGAGTCAGCTCTTCTTGTTAGTTGCTTGAGCGAAGTTCAAGATTGGTACAGAACTTTATCGCACAGAATGACAGACTAACGTTTCGGCGAACTCGCCTTCTTCAGAGTCTGAAAAGTCGAAGACACATAAGTAAACTATCCGACCAAACACCTCGTCGACTACAGAAAGGAGCCCAACCCTCTAAGAAAAACAACAGCCTTAACCAAAACCAAGATTAAGCCAGTGCTCACCTTAAGAGATGAAAAGTTGGTGGGTGCAGACCACTTATGTCAAAAGCTGTACCGCCTTACTTTTATAGTTAACTAGTGACCCGGTTCTGACCTGACCTCATTATTCAAAAGCCACAGAGGCTCTGATAAGAAGACAGCTCGTTAGTAATGGCTAGGCACTCGTCCTTCCGGTTGATTTTTGGATTTTGGGCGGCTATCCAAAACGCTTCGAGTGTCTTGCGCGCTAGGATCTCGGGTTCACGCGCCAGGATTCGAACCTGCACTCCCACCTCCGCGTCGTCATGGCTGAGCCTGCGATGCATGCCTAGCGGAGTAGCTGCGTTGCCCTTGCTGAGTCCATCTAAGTGTTCTTTGATGCGCGTGCATAGTCTGCGGAGTCAGCTCTGCCAGAGACTGAAGAAGAAACAGAACATTTGTGGATGCATCTGAAGAGCAATAGAAAGGCTCGGCACGCGTTGGTTCAAGGAATTTTTGAGAACAAAGTCTCCCACGACTTCTTTAAGTCTTGCGAAGTCCGAATTGACGTCAACATCAACGGAAAAACCTCTAATCAATCAACATAACAACAAAGGAAACAAGCACCTTTGAGTTCAAATTTCTTTTGTGCCGTATAGGTTTGGGATATGGTCTTTATTTCTTCCATCACGGCCTTAGTTTATCTTCCTTAGCGGCCTGAATGGTCCTAAACGTCATCCGCAACTGCAGGACCGTAGTAAACCTCTGAAATAAGTCGGAATCTAAAGAAGCCGAGGACATGACGTGTCTGAAGTGCATGCTGCTCACGACCATGCCTTGGTCGTCGCAAAATTTGCGGCCGCACGCGTGATCGAACTTTTCGATGAACAGCGCGCACTGATTGTGCTATGCGCACAGGTTTTTACGTAGAGCAGTAAGACTAAGACCAACGGCGCTATATGGGAGCGAATGCTGGCCCTACACTTGTTAAGTAAGGTCGGCATAATGGAAACGCAAAGATGGACCGTAGAGTTACCATGCTGGACCAAATCACGAATGATACAATACGAGCATGATGAAGGTTGCGCCTTTGAGAAGATGCAAGAAAGACGTCTGCGATGTTCTGGACAAGTGATTCGGAGAGGTGGAGACCACATAACCAGGTTGGTCATGACAATGAACGTAAAAGGAAAGAGGCTAAGAGGAAGACCTGAGTTGCGATGGCTCTGAGTTAGTGCAAATATGAGAGAACTTGAGCGAGCTTTGAATCAGGAAGAATGTGGAGAACTTACGGGAGCAGCAGAGCGCATAACAGGAAGAATGCAATTTAGAAAACTGAATAATTATTCGATTCGGTTTTATACTAGTGAGTACACTTCGGAATATTCGAATTTTTTTTTCGAGTAATTGAATAATCGAATATATTCGGAATTCAAAAATATCGAATAATCGAATTTCGAATATTTTCAAAAACAAAAAATTTCGAATATTCGAATATTGAATATTTTCGGAATCAATGCCGAACAATCGAATATCGAATATTTTCGAAAAAAGAAAATCATCGAATAATCGAATATCGATTATTTTCGAAACGAAAAAATTTCGAATAATCGAATATATTCGAGAAAAAAATCCGAATAAACGAATACTTTGCATTGACTATGTCGAGTATTCAAACAAATTTTGATCGCACGACGATGGACTCCATATAGTGGTAGGTTGAACAACAAACAATTTTCGCTTATACAGGGTGTCCCAAAAGTAAGTACATACTTTTCAATCATCAATATCTCTCTTCCCATTGTGTCTTTTTCCGCCATTCAGATACCTTCTGTTCTGTAAAGTTCTGTAGAGGAGGCCTCAGCTTAGATTCAAAGTATGGAGGTACTCACCGATCTCTCTTCGTTACTGAAGGATTACGATATGAACTTCCAGCATGTGGAACTATTGTGGAATATGCCATCTGGCAAAATTTTTAAAAAATCTGAAAAATCGTGGTTTTCGCGCACGCTGTTACCGCTACACAACTTTTTACGAGTGTTTTAAGCTTTTTTGACGGTGTAATCACATTTTTGACAGATACTGGGAATTCGGTTATTACGGTCTACCTGTGATAACTTTTATAAGATGCATCGCAGTAAGGTTGAAACTTCAAAATTGAAATCAGCGGCTTCCATTGCCATAGCATAGGGGTTTTTGGCTTGCTTGGTT